ATCCCCCGTCGTTCCGCACAGCTTCCGCCGCCGAGCACGAGCCCTTCAGCCTTCTTCCGCCAGCCCGCATGGCCCGCGACGACACGTCCCATCACTAGATTTGTAGCGACCACAGCCCGCGCTGCATCTCACCACCCCGACGACCCCCGCCGCCCACAATGGCCGCCTTCATCTCTCAGCCCGACGAGGGGTATTCAGAGGACCCCCTCAACCCCAGCTTCAGCGGCGCCCAGGATGCCTCGAGCTCTGGCACCAGCGGTAGGACGCCTGCCCACGAGGAACTGACGGCCATTCTCCAGAGGCGCGTTCCCAGCTTGACCAACGATGAGAAGATGGGTAAGTATCGCAGCGAGGAGTCTTTGGTGCATATGAGCTGACTGTGTGTTCCTGCAGAACTCGCCATGACAATCATCAATAACATGCCCACCTCCGGCGTCGTCGAGCTCGTCAAGCGAATGCACCCCCGCCTCTACATCGACTTCATCCAGTACCTGCCTCCGGAAGTCTGTCTCAAGATTTTAGGGTACCTCGACCCAGTTGCTCTGATCCGCGTCGCCGGCTCGTGCCGCGCGTGGCATGACCTGGCTCTCGACAGGAAGCTGTGGGAGCAGCTGTACCACCTTGAAGGCTGGAAGGCCGACTACGAGGCGATCCAGAGACACGAGGACAGTCTCAACGAGCGGCACAAGAGCTACACCCTCCACCGGGTTCGATCATCCGAGGACGGCCACACGTATAAGAAGCGGGCCATCTCTGAAGACAACGATTTGGAAATGACCGACGTCGACCGGCCCCTAAAGACGGAGGAGTCTGTGACCGGCAACAGCATTTTCGGTAGCCCCGCGTCGTCCTTCACCGGCTTCGGCAGAAATTCCGCCACGCCCACACCTGTAGATATTGACATGGACCGCTCCTCAGGGTCCAAGAGCCGTAGTGCGGACAGAGTTGACTCCAAGGGCAAGGGCATAGCATCCCCGCTCCACCAGAGTACGCTTGTTGGGGAAGATTCGCTGCCGTCCATGGTCCCGACGAACGCTTGTGATGGGCGCCCCCCCGGTGTTCCAGAGTCCAAGCTGTGGTCCTGGGACGCCTCAAGCTCCAAGTATCGTCTCAACTGGAGGTATCTTTACACGATGCGTCGGCGTCTCGAGAGGAACTGGGAGCTCGGCAGGTATTCCAACTTCCAGCTTCCTCGTCCTGACCGTCCCCAAGATGGCCACACAGAGTGCATCTATACTCTGCAGTATGACAAGGAATACCTCGTCAGCGGTAGTCGGGACCGCACAATCCGCATTTGGAGCTTGATCAACTATAAGCTGTTAAGAAAACCGCTTGAGGGCCACAACGGCTCCGTTTTGTGCTTGCAGTTCGACGCGGATAAAGACGAGGACTTGATTGTGTCCGGCAGCAGTGACTCTGATGTCATTCTCTGGCGATTCTCGACAGGTCAAATGATCCAGCGGTTGTCACACGCGCACACAGAATCTGTGCTCAACGTCAAGTTCGACAAGCGCATCTTGGTGACTTGCTCAAAGGATAAGTCAATCAAGATCTTTAACCGTAGGCCGCTCAAGTACGGCGACCCCGGATACGGGGATTCTGACATCATCTATCCCGTTCCAACCCACGTGCGAGACTACGGATACTCCAATCCGATGGACGACCTGCCGGTCAAACCCCCTTACACAATGATCGGTGTCTTGGACGGCCACGGCGCCGCTGTCAACGCTGTTCAGATTTGCGACAATGAAATCGTGTCCGCCAGCGGAGATCGCAATATCAAGGTATGGGACTGGGCGAAGCAGGTTTGCATCCGAACCGTCGTTGGCCATAGCAAGGGCATTGCGTGCGTGCAGTACGATGGCCGAAGAATTGTTAGTGGCAGCAGCGACAACGAGGTCAAGGTGTTTGATAGGTTCACTGGTCTCGAGGTAGCCAGCCTGCGCGCTCACAATAACCTTGTCCGAACCGTTCAGGCTGGGTTCGGCGATCTCCCGTACAGCGCCGAGGAGGATAAGCTGGAGGCGAAGAGAGTCGATCAGAAATACTTTGAGGCGGTTCAGAAGGGAGAAGTCAGTCCGTACGGTGAACAGGGCAGTAGCAGTCGCCGCAGCAGACCTAGGAACGCCGGCAGCAGCAAGCCCGAAGATATTACAGCCTACGGCGCCAACATTCCTCCTGGAGGTGGCGGCGGCAAGTATGCCCGCATCGTGTCCGGCTCGTACGATCAGACTATCATCATCTGGCGCCGCGACAAGGAGGGTGTCTGGAAGGACGTTCATCGTTTGCGTCAAGAAGAAGGTGCGGCGGCGGCGCAGGTTGCCTGGAGAGCGGCGTCTGAGGCGAAGGCGCAGGCTCAAGCCAGATCATCCATCGACCAAGTCAGAACATCCATCGATCAGCCCATCATTGCGACCATCACCCCTGAGTCCGCCCAATCATTCATACACATGATTGAAATCACGGTACCTCAAGGACCTCAGCACTTGCGAAGCGCCCTGATGGAGTACCCTACGATGCTTGCCTACACTTCCCACATCCAGGCCACCATTGCCAGAGAACCTAACCCGCGCACGAGGACCGAGCTGAGGCAGATTCTGCAGGCTGCGTCGTTGGAAATCCAGTTTACCCAAGCTCGTGCTCGAGCCGCTGCGACTGCCGCTGCCACCCGGGAGGCTCAGCCGCTTGCTCCGGCCACGCTCCCTTCGCTTGAGCTAGACGACAGTTCGCCCGGCGGGTTTGACTTGACGCAGATCGACTTCTCTGCGCCCCCGTTCCGCCCATCTGAGGCCCCTGCTGTTGATGCTCAAAGACCTGCGAGACGGCACTACATTGCCCACACGACAACTGTCAACCTCGAGTCGATGCGCACTACTTCAGCGCCTACGAATATCCCTCAACGATCGGCTACGCCAGGTGCAACGCAGACGCCATCACCGGCGGTGCAAGGGCACTTGCTGATTCAGGGTCAGAACCAGAACCAGGGCCAGGCTCGCTCATCGTCGCAGCCCCCAGTCAATGCGCAGCCCACACAGCCCGGCGCCCCTGTGCAAACGCAGGCTACGCCCGTCCCGGTGCAGGGAGCTCAAAACCCGGTGCCGGACGCTGATGGAGGCGCGGCGGCGCACCACCCGCACATTGCCAACGCCGACAACGGGCCAGCGCGGGTGTTCAAGCTGCAGTACGACGCCCACAGAATCATTTGTTGTAGTCAGACAACTGTCATTGTTGGGTGGGACTTTACGAATGGCGACGAGGAGTTGCGCGAAGTGGCGCGCCTCTGCCTCTTTGGATCAGTAGATTAGATGTTGGACAGCAGTCACAGACATAGCATAATTGTATCAGGAGGGGAAGTTGTCAGCTTTATCATGGCATAGTGGCGTTTGGACGGTAGATGTATAAATTCAAAGAGTAATGGACGATACGTGCTCGCAAACTGGCCCAACGCCCTCAACGCCGTGTGTTCCGTGCAAGCAATCATCACTTCTAACCCGCAGCCTCCTTGACCTTGGCACCCTCCTTCGCCGGCTCCTCGTCCACAAAGTCGGGCAGCTCATCCTGCAAGAAACTCGGCACGGTGCCCATCTCCGGCTCCAGCTCCGCCTCCATACCCAGCGCCTCCAGCTCGGCATCCAGCTCCGCCTCGTCCACATCCTCAGGCACATCGTAGCTCCTCGCCAAACTCTCCTGGATATCATTCCCAATGTCCATCAAATCCGCCATCTCGTCCTGCAGCCGCTCGATCTTGTCAATGTCCACTTTCCCGTACTGCTTCTTGAGCTCCTTGTTGGTCGTCTTGAGGGCGTCGACGGTGGCCATTGTGTTCTTGAGGTTGTCCTGCATCGTCTGAGCCTGCTCCATGTTCCAGACCTGGGACTGCAGCTGGTCGCGCTGGCCCTCGTACATTTTGCGGCGCTGCAGGACCTTGAGGGCTTTTTGCTTGATGGCGTTCTTGCCTGGGCCGTCGCGCATTTTGGAGAGCTTGGACTGGTAGGTTTGAAGCTCGGCGGTCAGGGCGGAGAGTTTCACGTCGATTGAGGAGATGCGGTCGTCGATGTTGGTTATGGCGGAGTTGAGGGTCGGTTTGGGCCCTTTGGGGGCGGCGCCGAAGAGGCGGTTCATTGTGAGGTTGGGGGTGCCGCGGGCACGATATGGGAGTGGGTTGGCGATGTACGGTTCTGGTGCTGGGAGGTGGAGGGTGGTGAGTGTTTGTTTTTGAACGTGCTGGTTGCCTGGATGACGTTGCGTGGACGGCGGGTGGTGATGGCCGGGAGCTTGGGTGCGTATCGATAGACCCCGCGGTGGGATCGGAGCCGAATTTATCCGGGATACAAGTTAGTATGCTGGCCTGTGGTGAGGCTTGGCCGACCAATCCTGGTCTTTCAGCTTCATTCCGGACCAGGAACCGAGATCAAATACGATGTCGACTGCCGAATTCCGAGCATCGCAATTTGTGCGATTCTCAAATTTCCTGTTCACACTTTCAACCTATGCTACTCCTCCGATTCTGGATAACTCGAATAGCCGGACAAGCGTCTGCATAGGCCAACTTCTACCAGTTCGGCTCCAATCGAATGACATGCCACAAACACCCTAGCCGAGCATTCATTCATACCTGGTCTTCTCATCACAGGTCTGCATTCGCAAACTGAACATTTCGATATGCCGCTGCCCTGCGAACGCCCATTCTCAGGGGTAAGCCATCCGCGTACGTGCCACGAGTCGCCCGTTTACCCGTTACCTAATGGGTTCTCCCCCGTGCCGGGCATCGCAGCAAATGAAGCACGCCAAGATTACCATGACTAAAAGGATACCTGTTGCCCTTTTCCGCGTCCCTTTTATGTGAGCAACCCTGCGAGGCTATCGTAAACTTACAAACCCTCCCTTCTTCTCCCATCTACGTTTTGAGACTGTCCCTAAGAAACCGGCCCCCAAGGAAGAGAAAAGACCTCCCACATGTGACTGTGAAGACGTGAATGTACTTGCGACGCAGACGTACAATGAGACGGTCGGAGCAGGAGCTGGCGCAGATGGAGGAGGAGAAGCTGTGGACGGGCCGCGAGCCGATGCTCAGCCCGCGGTTTGGGGATGATGACGAGGATGAAGAGCCCGCGGCCGCTGGCGGCTCCGAGACGGAGGCGTGTCTCGGTGACGTTGAGGTGAGAGGGCCCGTCGAGGAGGCGGAGGCGTTGCCTGTATACGTGTCGATGCATCGGTAAATGCCTTCCGTGGGTGCGTGAGGTGCAGAGCATGTGCTGACCGAGGCCAGAGTCCGCCGCCTCATTGTCGCGAGCATAGACGACCCGTACACTGTCGACCAGCTCAGCGACCCACGGCTCAATGTGCGCATTGTCCGCCCGCTCGTGGACAGACTCTACAATCCAAAAGATGTCACGATAGGTACGCCTCCAACCTCGCACCTGGCACCCCGAGACACTGACACCTGGCACAGTCTACTGCCTCCTCGCAAACCGCCTGTACTTCCTCCGCCAGCACTCCTCAACAATCCACCAACCCCTCGCCAAAGCCCGCGCCGCCCTCGCCGAACTCGTCGCCACGCGCCTCTTCCGCCGCTTCCACGAAGACAACCCGGGCGCGCAGGGCCTGCTCGCGCTCTCGCGCATGCTCGTCGGCGGCTTCGACCCCTTCGAGGGCGCCCCTTCGGCCGTCGAGTTCGAGGGCCGCAGCCGTCGGCAGTGGGCCGTGCAGCCGCGCCCCGGCGGCCACGAGCGCAAGCTCACGGCGCTCGAGCTCGCCATCCTCTCGGAGAGCAAAGGCTTCATCGCCTCCGCGGGCTGCCAGCGCGTCGTCACCGCCGTGTACGAGGGGCGCGTGGTGTACACGCCGCTGAGCTTCGTGGACATCCTGCCCGACCACTTTGAGTACCGGCCCATCTCGCTGTACGACCCGCGCAAGGCGCCGATCCTCAACCACTACCGCCTCATCGTGCCGCGCGCGCGCAACCTCATCGAGCTGGGGCAGTTTTTGTTGTTGATGGTGCTGTATTTCATGGCGATGCTGTACCGCCGCAGCAGCAACGAGGTGTACGAGTTTCTGTTTTGTATCTACGCGGCGGGGTGGGTGCTCGACGAGGTGGCGGCCATCGTCGAGCACGGCTGGGCGGTGCACGCGCAGAACCTCTGGTCCTGGCTCGACGTGACCTTCTCCTGCATCTACGGGGTCTACATCCTCGCGCGCGTGTACGACGTCGCGGCGGGCAGCTTCCCGGACGGCCACGGCCCGCACGTGCTCCCGCTCGCGGCGCCGATCCTGCTCACGCGCGTGGCGTTCAACATCGCGCCGGACAACATCGTGCTGATCTCGCTGCACGCGATGATGGCGGACTTTTTGTTGGTGTCGCTGCTCGCGTGCTGGTGCTTCATGGGGTTCCTGCTGGCGCTGCAGTGGCTGATCGACTCGAACGACAACCTCAACGAGACACCCTCCTGGTTCACGATCGGGAAATGGATGCTCTGGATCTGGTTCGGGCTCGACGGCACGGGGATCGAGGAGAGCGTGCAGTTCCACGTGCTGCTGGGCCCGGCGCTGATGATCGGGTTCGCGTTTTTGGGGAACACGCTGTTCCTGACGATCCTGGTCGCGATGCTGACGAACACGTTTTCGAAGATTGTCAAGGGCGAGGAGGCGGAGGTGCAGTTCCGCAGGGCGGTGCTGACGTTCGAGGGGGTGAGGTCGGACGCGCTGTTCATGTACCCGCCGCCGTTTAATGTGTTTGCGCTGGTGGTGCTCGCGCCGGTGCGGTTCTTCGTGGAGGCGGAGACGTTTCATAGGGTGAATGTGGCGCTGATACGCGTGGTGAACCTGCCGACGCTGCTGCTGATCAGCCTGTGGGAGCGGCGGCTGTTCTCGCGGCGGGCGTGGAGGGGGATGGCGGGCGGAGGGGGGAGGAGGCGGTGGTGGAGGTTTTCGGGGCTGAGTCCGCACGGGGATATACAGGCCGTGTTCGAGACGCGGCCGCCGCCTGATGTGGCGGATCTGATTGAGGGGCTGGATGCGCTGGAGGAGAAGGAGGAGGGAGTGAGGTTGCGGGCGGGGGTTCGGACGGCGGTGCTGGAGCATGATGATTGAGGGCGGTTTACGGGTTGTAGGATTATGTTGGTTAGATCATGGGTCTTGGTAGAAGAAAGGGCGTTTGGGGGTGGTTAGACTTGGGGTCCCAAGAGCATTTGTTGGCGTCCATCGGTCCAGTATGAAGAATTGAGTCTGCTGTTTTGGAGCATCCATGACTTCCTGGGATACTTATCCTCGAGCCCACCTATTTTGACTATGTATGCTACGGCGCATATATTACCTCTGAATTCTGCTTTCGTTCTCTGTATTATTTGATTCTACTCTTGTAAACTCCAAGAAATACTCTCGTTGAATCAAGTATGGTCGTGCAGAAACAAGCTTTCCCTTACCCTTGTGTCGTAGAATGCTTGGATAAGTATAAAAAAGGCAGAAAGAGAGGTACATACCAGGAATGATTCAGAAGGCAGTCAGGAATGCGAAAGAAGAACGTCTTCATTCAGCCCTATCAGATGTGCGGGTCGTCCCGCCGCGGACTTCAGACGATGGCAGCAGAACGTGGGGGTCCCTGCCATGCGGTTGTCACTGTTGATTTTCTGCTATTATGCAGTAAAATTGGGTGTTGATAGCCCCCTCCATTGCAGCAACAACAAAACAACGCCCAGCTGCCACGCTTCCGAGGTGCCGAGAAACACGTGGAGGTGCATCCCGTCGTCGCCAAACAAAACCAAACAGAGCCAATCTGACGTGCAGCAGCCTGCAGCACCAAGCAACCACATTACGAATCCTCCGTCACGCAGGCACTAGCCCTTCCAGTCGACCACGGGAGGGTCCGCTGGTCAGTGTTGGTTGGCCTCTCTGTTGTGTACTTTTGTGCTCGCATCTGATTTTTTTGGCGGCCCCTCGTGGCCCAACCAACCTCAAAAAGTCACACCCCGCCATCGCATCGTCACTTGACCCCGCGACGCACTCAGGTCACAACCACCTCACCACCGTCGCGCGACGACATCCACGGTTCTTCACCTAGTGCTTTTCCCAACTTTGCCACAGTCACTACCGCACAGCAACACATCAATCAAGAAAAAATGTCGCTATTCGGAAACTTCGACGTCGCGAAGCTGGCCTCCCAGCTAGGCGGCTTCACCATCCCCGACGATCCCGAGATCCAGCACGAATACGGTGAGCCTCTTCACATCACCCCCGCAGGCTCCTTCTGACCCGCCCCCAGGATCAAAGGACTTTGGCTACAGCAACCACGGCTCCCACCCCGGCGGCTACGACGGCCAGCCCCCCTCAGGCTACGCCGGCGGCCCCCAGAACGGCGCCGACGAGTACAAGCGCGAGCACCCCGACGCTTTCGGCACCGCCGACCCAGAGCGCTCCGCCGCCGCTTCCTACGGCGCAGGCGCGTTCTCTGCCGCCGCAGCCGGGACCTACGGCGCCCAGGCCCCTTATCCCACGGACTCGCCACGCCCGGAACACCGCTACGGCGACCAGCAGAGCCCCTACCCCTCAGAGTCCCCGCGCCCCGAGCACCGTCCGTACGGTGAGAGCGCGAGCCCGTACCGCCCGCCGCCGCCCGAGCACGGCGATGAACGCCCGCCCTCGCCGCGTCTGCCGGAGGGCTGGGCCAAGAGGTTCGATGAGCGGAGCGGGCGGTGGTACTATGTCAGCCCGAACAACTCGACGCAGTGGGAGCCGCCTGCGCCGCTCTCGCCCGTCGTGTCGCCGCCGCCGCCGGAGCCGAGGTACGAGGATCGGTATGCGGGAGGAGGGCACTCGCCGCGTCCAGGGTACGGTGGACACTCGCCTCAGCCGGGGTATGGCGGGCACTCGCCGGCAGAGTACGCTGCCGGTGCGGCTGCGGCGGGCGCGGTTGCGGGTGCTGCTGCGGGATACTACGCGGGACATGGCTACGAGCAGAGCCAGCCTCATCAGCAGCCGCAGTATCATGACCCGAACCGGTCGTATGGTCAGCCGGGATACGGCCAGCCTCAGGGATCGCCTTATGGACAACCTCAGGGATCTCCGTACGGACAGCCTCACGCGTCGCCGTTTGGTCAGCCTTCAGGATCCCCGTACGGTGGCGGATCGCCGTATGGACAACCGCAAGCTTCGCCGTACGGTCAGCCTCAGCAGCAGGCGTATGGACACCCGTACGGTCAGCAGTACGAGCAGGGCAGCGAGGAAAAGAAGAAGAAGAAGAGTAGTAGCAGCAACATGCTGCTCGGCGTAGCCGGTGGTCTTGCTGTTGGCGCCATCGGAGGAGCCCTGATTGCGAACGCTCTGGGTTTGTTACGGTTCGTGTCTTATCAAGCCAGACTACTAACAGTTCTGCAGATTCCGACTCTGATGAAGAGCGCCACCAAGAGCGATACGAGAGGGGAAGCGACTCTGGATCCGAGCACCGCTACCGCGAGTATGAGCGTGACGAGAGTGACCGGGAGTCGTTGCGGGAGGCCAGGAGGGAGTACGAGGAGGAGCTGGCCAGCGCGAGGGGGTCGAGCTGCAGCAGCAGCGATCGCGAGTCGTTGCGAGAGGCGAGGGAGGAGTATGAGGAGGAGTTGCATGATTACTACGACGACTGAGATAGTTGCTAGATGATGGTTAAGTCGATAATCGGTTTTTAGTGCATAGAGATACCACTGCCAGCAAGGTTCAAAACGAGTGATTTCCGTTGGCAGCATCATTTCGAGTTGATTTATCAATAACCCCTTATCTTGCCAGATAATGATGGTTCGCCTCACTGCAGACATCCTGGGCGCCTTCTTCCATTTCCTCGGAATAACACAGCACAAGGGAAAGCCTCGCACCACCCATCCGAAGGAAAGCCAACCAGCCAAGAATGTCTGTTTGACACGATGGATGCAGCTCGTTGCGTGGCTCGTTGCAGCATGTCAGCTCAGGTGTACAGACCAGCAATCAGGCTTCCGCCTAAACTCCGCCTGCTTGAAAATGGGTGTGTGACACAGGGTGAAGGCTCCCAGAGGCCAACCTACCGGGGTCATGGGTCAACAGATGAATCACTGAAGTCTGCTCTCTCTATGCGAAGTGTTCCCTGCGCTCTATACCTAACCAAGCTGCTCCTCTGTTCCTTGTAGACCTCATTCCAGCGTATTCTGGAAAGTTTCTCGCACTGCTGCAAGTCTACATTTATTCTGGTCTTGTTGACTTCACAGCGAGTGAGTGCACTGATACGCCCCGTTTGATGTGACAACATCAAACACGGTTCTAGATGCAACCTTCCTATTTGAATGTCGTTTACTCAATATTCTGGGTCCTGATAGAATTAGACACCTATGGAAAGGTGCAACTATCACATGTTCACCCATGATCGGGAAGTACGGCCTAGATGGTCGTTCATTGATTAGATTTGGCCAAATCCTTGAGCCCTGATGGTATATTCCTCTCAAACAAGGCTTCCTTATAGGCACATAAAAAGTCGACTTCACTGGTGGTGGCTTGTTGTAGGAGTGTAGCGATTATGACCAGATGACACTCGCAGCCTGGCAGTATAGTACACATGACCTTTTGTACATATAGACTTCAACGTTCAGCTCTGCGGCTGAGTAGCGCCTTCCCAAACGTGGCAACTGGTATTGGTATGCACATGGTGTGATGGAATGCCTCATTGTCACACAACGTCAGGCTGTCGGTCAGATTAGGAGACTTGGATCTCACTGCATGGACACGATATCTGCATTTTGGTCGTTTCGCTTGCATACTTAACATCAATTCAATCCCCCAATTTGGAAACGCAGAGCAGGAAGGTTCCATCGTAGAATTATTTTTGCCGTTGCTGAGTGCGGTTTACTCAGGATCCAACTTCATGGCCAATACAGAACCTCTCAAAAATGCCACGCTGTGCTCATACTGTTCATTCATAGACTTCGGTCGACTTCGGCTCCCAAACGTAGGCGACTTACGGCGTCATATGGATGGCCAAGCTGACTTTCCCTCACATCTCTTCTTGAAGCCTGACGGGTTGCAGAACGACTGGGATCTAGGAACGGTCGAACGTGTCAACAACACAGCAAAATTCTGTCTATTCTGCGGAGAGATCCAAACTCTGCTGCGCAACCTCCATCGAAGTGGTACGCAAGTGCCGCATAACTATGTGTGCTCTGCGTCCATCAGCGTAAGGGGTAGTTTCGAATTACCCCACAGGACCATTGCCAACCTGGCAGTCGCCTCAAGCAAGTCCGACGAACGCGATGATGCACAATTCATACCTTACATGTTTCTGCACTCCGTCAACATACACTTCCAGGACCCGGTCACACAACCAAGCGGCATTAGAAAGCAACCCGTGTCAGTGTTACACTGGCTCCACCCGTACAAGTCTTCGTCTGCATCCTTTTTCAGAGACGAAAATATTCCCGATAGTGGACACATACTAAACTCTCGGGCTTCGCCATTGTATGTAGATATCGGTATGATCAAGAGTTGGGAGATGGAATGTACGACGAATCATGGCACCTGCTGTAAAGAATCTCACGTATCTGGGTGAGTAAACCATGATGGAAGCTTCCACTACATAGATGAGCTAACAGATTTCGGAGATATAGATCAAGCAGAATCGGGGTGTTTCGTCTCATTGATGTCCATAAACGAGCTGTGGTACGGCTCTCGCATGTTGACATTGCCACCATACAATACATCGCACTCAGCTATGTGTGGGGAGGTTCTCAGAGGTTGAAGTTAGAGCGCAAAAACTGGAATTCACTGAGTCAACCTGGCGCATTATGGCATACGACTTCCAAGACTATTGAGGATGCAATGGTATTGACGCAGAAGCTTGGTCGGCAGTATCTGTGGGTTGACGCGCTTTGCATCGTCCAAGAGGATACACCAGATCAGTCATATCACCTGTCATTTATGGACCAAATATACAGACACGCAGAGCTTACGATTATCGCAGCATCCGGACGAGACTCCGAAGCTGGCCTGCCTGGGTTACGTACGCCCCGCAGACAAATGCAACGGATTCTTCGTATCAGAGACCCTACAAAGCAGGAACCTGAACTCTATTTAGCCACTGCCTCAACCACTCGTCCACGGTGGTTCAGAGATATTCTGGGAGAAACAGAATGGAATACCCGGGGTTGGACACTTCAAGTGAGAGTCATGTCGAGACGCGTCTTGATTTTCACTGAGAACGAGATCTACTGGAGCTGCCGCAACGCCAATTGGATAGAAGGCCTGTTCACAGAGACACACCTCGTGAAAGTCAGTCTGTACCACGACTTCTCACAGACTAATTTCCTTAGACCCGAATTACCAGAATCTGAGGAGGGGTTGTTATGGGATGACTTGGGGCACCAGATAAAAGACTTCTCATCTCGCAGCTTCACTGTACCTGGTGACGCTTATAGCGCGTTTCGTGGGATTCTCAAAGAGTTCACATCGATGACAGGAGAGCCTTTTCTCTGGGGGATCCCAACAAGTAGATTTGAAATTGGACTTTGCTGGCAACGGCAGTGGATACTAGCAAAGGCCTCGGGTGCATACCTAAAGCGAAGAACGGACTTAAATACATTACCCTCGACCACTTTGAGTTGTCCCGTGTCGTTTCCGAGCTGGTCATGGCTGGGGTGGATAGGGAACATCCAGATGTGGTTCACAAACCAGTACAGGGAGACGGGGTGAGTCATGAAAATACAGATGAATACTGGCTACGTACAACAACTGACTGTTTTGCAAAGGTTGACGGAAGACATTGTTTGTTATGTTGTTCGAAATAATCCCGTTCGGGTAGTAAAGGTGGGGAGGATCAGAGACGACTCGACCGAATTCTCGGCCCCACCTACAGTCAGTGAGAACGTCGTTACTCCAAACGCCATCTCATCTCGCTACCATCAATTGACACATGGGGCTCTCGAAGGAATACCAGACAATCAATTGATTACGTTTTGGTCCGAGACCGCCACGTTCTTCGTGGATGGGCCTGTGCGGGACTCTGCCAGATATGACGACGTTGAATTTTATAACTTCGACGTCTACAGAGCCAACGACGACGGTGTCCCGAACGTGTTATGCGGGCAAACTGAAAGATGTACCTCCCGGTATGAGGAGGATCCCATAATTCATGCAGGCAAAGGATTTTTCGAGTTTATTCTTCTTGCAACGTGTGAGGTACTTGAAATTGACCCCGGCGAGGCCCTGCTGTCTGTGGAGGACCGTCTTAGATCGAGCGTCCCTTGGATTAAAAGATTCGAGAAGCTTGTCATGCAGATAATGTATGATGGCAGAGGTGTGGCGACTCGTGTTTGCATCGCGAGAATTCGGGAAGATGAGTGGCAAAGAGCAATCCCGCAAAGAAAACTGATCGTGTTGGGATGAGGATTACAGAACAACAGTATGACTCAATAAGATTCCGGAAGGATGTGGCTTTCCCAAGCATGCAATGAAAAACAACCCTCATATTTGAATAGGATAACAATAATGTCACTAAAAGCCTAGAATATTCCGCTGGATACCTTCAGCGAACTCGTCGAGTGGTGTGCCAGCCTCATTGTCCCCACCCTCGTCGCACCCATAATTGTCGATATTTCTGATATCTCCATCTCCAGCCAGTGTAACTTTTTATTAATATCCTTGTTACCCTCATTATGACTTTTACCAGTGGTCGTTAAAACTACCCCATATATATATACCGTCGTACAGATTTTACAATACTTCTTACATAGTTTTTGAGCAAATAGAAAGCCCTCCTGCATGGGTTTGAGATTTTAATTATAACTTCTCTCAGAATAACTGGCGTCAACTACACGGAATAAGCAATAATTACCCTTGCAAGCAGTAGCTGAAAGCTTTGAACTAACCTTGAAGCTGGTATTTCAGAGCAAAGTGCAGTATACAGCATCTGTCAGTGGACCTATCAAGAGCAGACGCCTTGTGATGTGGCTTAGTGGTACTGACCGCCTGAAGCTGTGTTGCATATCCAATTTGATGCAGAAGATAGGCCTACGACGTTACAGGCAATAGATTGTGGGCCAACATTCATAACTTCGATCACGTACTTGAGTTTTGTAGTGGACTTAGCCACTGACGATCCGCTGCTATGTCGGGGTTTTCTGCCAAAGACAAAAAGCAAGATAAGACTACTGTCCGCAATTGAGTCTAATTCCCGAAATCTCAGTGCATATTCATTCGCCTACCTGGTTTAATATGCATACGAGTGTGGCTTAGTTGGGGCATAGCCTCTCGTTCTCGGACAGCAGACTTGGCATCTCGAGGGAACCGTCCAGGTTGATTAATGGGCTGACTGTGAGCCAGCCTGCTTCAAATATGTGCCATTATGGCCAATCCCGCCCCGACACGTGTGTAAAACTCCACAAGCCGCAGCTCCAGACCTTGACCTACCTCGGTGCCTATGCATAAATGATCGATGGTTCCCATTTGCAACGGAAATAAGTCGCGGCCATCTCAGTCGCTTAAATCACAGCAAGCCAGACTTCAAACGAAACCCGTTCCACTATTTCCACCATTGCCCAAGATCACAACCGTTGGCGGCCTATTTGTCCTCGATCTCGCAAGAACTTTCCAAGCAAACTATGGCTGCCAGACCTATTACTGGCGCGAAGCGCAGGCTATCGTCGCCTGAGGTTTCAACTCGAGAATATCCTGCAGATACTTACTCTACAAGCGGACTTTGTGCCCGATGTAGGGATCTTCCCTTGGAGAAAGGGCTCGATCTTCCTGCTGGCGAATTTGCAGTCGAAATTGCCGATGTTGGAACATATTATCGTCATCCAGCGGTCTCTAGCTGCCACCTTTGTTTCTTGCTTTGCAATTCTCGGATTCCCGCTGATCCTTCTACCTCAGGAGCATCAGGGAACAATGATCAGCTCCGCGCTTATGACGTAGTTCGACACAATTCATGGATGGATCCGCACGGAAAATCGAAAGACAGGGAACGAATCGTCGAAGGATATGATTCTCGTTATTTGGCTATTGTTCCATCATTCGGAATTCTCGCAATAAACTACACAGATGCCATGCGTAAATGGGGGAGACGGCAAGGCTTTCTTGTTTTCCGTCGACGTGGCTCTCGGCAGGCTAGCATTTTCGTACCCGAATTGTTGGCCAAAATTTCGATTCTTCTTTGGGAAAGACCTGGTTTCAATACTGCGAACGTTACCATAACAGCTCATGTTCAGGGACCAAACGGACGACTAAGGGACTCCGGCTGATAGACTGCCACTCATCTGTCGTAGTACCGGCTTCATCCCAAGAGAAGTACGTGGCTTTGAGCTACGTATGGGGACTTCCATCAGTGGAAGACAGTGCACCGGAGAAGAATTCTCCAGATTGTCTCCATGATACGCCACCCCTCGCAGATCTTCCAGCCACCATCAGTGATGCCATGAAGGTCACTATCGATATGGGCTTTGACTATCTCTGGGTCGACAAGTTCTGCATCGACCAGAAGGACGAAGCAGTGAAACATGGGCAAATAAGCCAGATGGACTCTATTTATCAGAATGCAGAGTTGACCATCATTGCTGCTGCTGGATCCGACCCGACATACGGCCTTCCAGGAATGAGCAGCAGACTCAGAGAGCCATATCCTACGGTCGCAGTTAGAGGTATCAACATCATTTCCACGCTCGAGCATCCACATTCGTCTATTCAATCATCAAAATGGTCTGAAAGGGGTTGGACACTTCAAGAGGCTGTCCTGAGTCGTCGGCGGCTTGTCTTCACGGATGACCAAGTCTATTTCGAGTGTACCGCTATGAATTGCCATGAGAGTCTTGCTTCCCCACTTGATAAACTTCACGTGAGGGACAGGTCAAAGTTCAGAAATATCATGCTGGGGGGCATCTTCGGCCGCAACCGATATCAGGAATATTGTCATTTCAACGAAAAGACGAGTTCGCCAATGCGAAACTTTGATCGCTTCAGCGACATAGTGCAGCAACAGCAACAGAAACCTGACATACGATTCGGACGCCTTGAAGGCCATGTACGGCATTTTTCGAGAGTTTGAAGACAACAAGACTCAAATCGCCCAAATTTATGGAATTCCGTTCTTTTCAAGCATGCCAGACAAGACGATGGTGTCTTTCTTGAACGGGCTTACGTGGCACCATCAGTGGCCATGGGCCAAGTGGGACCACCGCATGTCTCAACCACAAAGGAGGGAGAACTTTCCTTCATGGTCATGGGCTGGTTGGGTTGGTAATATTGTGACAGGTAAAAGCATATCAGGACAGAAGTTCCTGTACGACCGAATCGAAGTCAGCTCCGTGTCAATTGACATTGGAACTGAAACTATCTTCGACTTGTCAAAATACAGCCAGGATATACGAGTCGGAGATGATTTGCAGTTAAGGACCCCGTATCTTCAATTTCGCGCACCTCTGTTTCCTTCTTCCCTAATTTCATACGATGACTCATCAGAGCCCCCTAGATTGAAAATGGGCCAGTCGGATGTCGGTTTATTTCTGTCAGTTGGGCCGGCGGATCCGTATAATTTCATGAAAAGCCTGGAAGACAGAGGCCGGCAATGCATCTACTGGGGACAATTTTTGGAGAAGTCTAACCATTTAATGGTTTTGCAACCCGAAAGCGATGGCACATGGTCCAGAGTCGGGATGATATATGTACATGCGGGTCCATAGAAACATTACTTCCAAAGACAATGGTCTGGAGTACGCATGGGGACTCCCGAGTATAACCGTTGGTTGAAAGAGAGGCCGACAGGGTATTTTAGAGTTAGTTGAGGGGTGGTCAGAGGTCTGAGTATGGACAGACCGAACGTTGTTGCATCTCAAGCGACTGAGTGTATGTATTGTTCCTAAGATAGATGGAGTGTCCGGAAAGAAGTCTAAAAGCTGGTTGGTTTCTGTCGCTAAAGGGTAATCATGATTGCTGCTTAGCACCTACGATTATTTGCGTAACTTACAAGAAAGCGGCACCCCTGTGACAGTCTTACGTGGGGAAAAGCAGAGCCTCGTTGAGGGTTTGAAGATCAAGGTTTTGGGTTACAAACCAGATTTCAAGAAGGCAGGTCCACTCTTCCATCATCAAAAGATTTCAAGGGTCACGAAGAATGTCGCATTCATATAGCCATCTGAGGAAACATACAAGGACGTCACAAACTATTCCCAGGGGTCAGAGGACCATAGAAATTATGGCATTCATGATGGTATATAAGCCCTTAAAGTGCTCAAGACGATGAGAGTTTAGTTTTAGGGAGAAGGGTTGTCTGGAAAACCAGGAGCAAAGCAGCTCTAAGGATATCGCGTGATCTTTCATTCGAAAAGCCGTACCGGAAGTAGAAACTTGTGACGAAGCCGGTATGGTACTGAACTGTTCTTCCCTTTTGTGCATTTCTGCTATTTCACCTTTCGTCGGTACTGCTTCTATTGTTGCTATCTATACTGAAGCCCTTGTCGTCCCAGTGATTTCTGTGTTTTGAATTCGCCTTAAAAGCAACACTTTCAACAAAATCGACCGTAATACAAGACGTTGGGCATCAGAGATTAACAGAAGGGAGATAGTCACCAGAAGTCTCACTTGAATAGTACAGGTCACTGGTGAAGGTCAGCCTGGCCGGGAAGTGCGCAGAATAATCGTGATGAAACTAAAAAAAGGCTCTTCTATCATTACCGTATACTAAAGCGCGAGACCTAAGACTGCCCGGTAGACGCCGTGGAAGCCATTTCATCCGCTGACGCCAACGCAGTAGTAGTATTCAGGCCGTATCTGCGTCCCACAATTCTCGCCTGCCGACCCAACAACAGGATTCCAGCTGTAAAACTGCTCCAACGTAATGCCGCTATTGGTGGCCAGTTGCCAGCACGAGGCGCCGGATAGGGTCTGGGCGAACTTATTGCAGCTTGCCGGAATCCCTGCTTGTGTTTGCGAAAGTTTTGGGGCCGCTGCCGTAGTACTCGTTGGGGGCGCCTGTGTGGTAGTGGTTGGCGAATCTGATTTCACCCCAATGACAATAGAAGCACCCGGGCCAGATCATGTCGCAACTGTCGCCGTTGGCCAGCACCGTGTTCCACTCGTAGAAGGAGCTGAGCTCAATGCCGGCGTCGTTGGCCATCTTAAAACAGTAATCGCCGTCTTGAGCCTCAGCCCATTTGTTGCAGTTGGGAGTTGTGCGTTTGTGGATGGGCGACGGTGTGGATACCGCCGTCGGCTCCGAGGTGGGCACCGACATCGTCGCCGATGGGTCCGTTGTGGTCGGGCCTTCGCCGGTGGTGCGGACGCAGTAATAATTAGTAGCCAAGCCACACCTGCGTATCGCAGCGCTCGCCCGGCTTGCCGACAACGAGGTCGACCTCGAACAAGCGTGCTTGCAAGGTGCCGCCATCATTGGTAATCTTCCAACATGAGGCAATCGTGATGTTGGCCTGGACGTAGCGGTTGCAGCCAGACGCGATGCCTTCTTGCATATTTGTGGGCGGCGAGGCTGGGTTTTCCAGAATGGAGAGACTGGGAGTACTTCCCGGTCCCTCAAAAACCGGCCCTTCGCCATCGTCAGGGATTTCCCACTCCGGAGGACCATTCCAAGAGCCACCGCGAAGAGTGATACAGGCATACTGGTTTGGGACTAGGAAGTCACATGCTTTAAGGACGTTTGGGTTCTAGGCAGCGAGACGTACGGCAGGGATGGGATTTGTATCATGGAAAACTGCCGCTGCAATAGAGTCACTGCGATTGACGAATGCAAGTAATGTGACAGACTCAGCCATTTTATTCACTCACCAAGTATTCCCTTCATTCACCCGAAGAAGCTTACATGCGGGTGATCCACAGAACCAGTCTTCATCCGAGTCCTCATCATTCAATGGGCCTTCTGGCTCCATAATGCAGGAGGAACTGCGCGTTGTCACCATCAAGTCGCCGGTAGTGATGCCATGCAGCTCAGCTAGCTCCTCGCACCTCTCCAAGTCAATCTCAGCGAGCGTTGTTTCACGCGTAGCGAAGATGTCAACTCATTGACCCAGCTCGCAGTCGGGATCCGAGTTTGATACGGTGGGGAATTGCTTTGATGACTTCACCGCTGAAGTCGTAACCAAGGATAGTGGACTGCACGCCTATCAGCGGGGCATGCTTTGCATCGGCGGGATTGACAACTGAGAACCAGACTTCAAGAACCACCTCGCCCCCTGGTTCGAGAAGTGGAACATCAAATATGACCTGCAGATTGCAGTTATTGGCGACAAACAGGGCGGGCGCGATGGAGATAGACGCTGACATGTCTCAGAAATGGTGATAGCATAATACTGCGTGGTAGGTAAAATAGCGTGGTGATGGTCAGTGCAGGGGAAATGTGAGGTTCTAATGCATCAGCGCCTTGTTGAAAATGATCGATGCGGAAGAAATGGAAGTGGCCAACGTCTGCAACCGTTCCCCCGGTGAACCGACCTGGCTGGTGGGCGTAGCTTATGCTGGGAGCTGAGGTACATGCTAGTCTTAATGCTCTAGTTGTTTGCCTGACTACTGATTTATTTGTCGCCACACGCCAACTTGCATACTCCGTGTATTCTTCAGAGGGGGTATCATCGTCGCAACAAATGTCGTACTCAGTGAAATAATCCTTCATCGTCTGAACTCGGGCGTAACCTCGGCCGAGCCTTGGGCTTGGACTTCGGCCGAATCTTCGGGAGATAATTCGCCGCATATCAGTGGCACTTCTAGGATGTTGTAGCCGCTGAAGTTTGTTATGAAATCGGAAGAGCCGGTCTCAACCGATTCGTTGACGTAAGTAGACCTCGGTCTGGCATGTTTGATGAAATAAGAAGCACCGCCTGAATATCTTATGGCGCCTGAAAGTCTTGGTATTTTAAATGCAAGTTCCCATCCACCGGATATATTGCCGCATTCACAACGTTTCTTGCTATTAACAGGTCTGCCAATGCTAGACAATGAAAGAATTTCAATTTGAAAAACCACGCGCTGGTTTGAGCCTTCGGCACATCCCAATTCCTAAGCCAGGCCCCAACCAGGTCCTCATACAAGTCAAAGCAGCTGGGCTCTGCCATTCAGATTGCCATCTATTGAAAGGGGACGGGTTAGTGACAACACCTATCACTCTTGGACATGAGGTGTCTGGGATTGTTGCGTCCGCTGGATCTGAAGTCAGGGGGTTTCAGCCTGGCGATCGAGTAGCGATAGGCTTGCGTTCCCATCCCTTCGAGAGCCAAGAATGGACATCAGCACCCGGTCTAGGTTGCGACGGGGGCTACGCCGAATATGCGCTCGCGTCTGCGGCACATCTGAAACGAATACCTCAAAATGTATCCTTCGCACAAGCGGCGGTTGCAACGGATGCCATGGCGACTGCGTATCACGCTGTGGTAATTGAAGCTGGTGTGCGCCCGGGGATGACGGGTTGCATCATTGGTATCGGAGGACTAGGCATGTCGGGACTTGTATTTGCTGTCCTGTTAGGAGCGGATGTATACGCCGTTGATGTGGTTCCCATGAAGTTGAAGGAGGCAGTCCGCCTGGGTGCTCATGAGCGCTTCGAAAAGCTAGATGAAGCTAGGGGCGTGAACTTTGACGTAATTATCGATTTCGCCGGCATAGGGCAGACCACAAGTATGGCTGTTGAGAAAACCAGGAAAGGTGGCAAAGTGGTGGTTGTCGGCCTAGCGGCGTCCAGGATCACAGTCTCCGTCACGGCGTTGGTAACACGCAGCATCAGCATAATCGGTTCGTTTGGCGCCAGTCAGGATGACTTGAGGACTGTTTTCGAACTGTTGGCAGATGGAAAAGTCCCGCTGGAGTTAACTGTGTGAGATCGACTTCGCAGATGTTCCAGCCGGACTGGATGCCTTGAACAAGGGCTGTGTTAGTGGAAGGCTTTGGTCGGACCCGAGCAAAGCTAGAAGGAACGGAATGGCTAAGGTGTAACTGTGAATTTGATTCAATTACACGAAAGAACTGTATGATTTAATTTATCTTTCAGCTACTCTGACTACGCTCCACCATGGATTATTGTGATTTGATAGGGGCATAGCAGTCGGCGAACCCAAGGTCGAATCCCCAAAGGGGCGTGTTAATTCTCTTGGCCTTTCCCTTGGCGGCCAAGCCGTCAAGTAAGTCCAGATTTCCCTTGGAAAGCGAGATGACCTTCTTGTTAGAAGAAATACGCTTCTCCGTCACTGACTTAGGTAGAACCACAACGCCCTTGTTAACATGGTAGCTGATGAGGATCATGGCGCAACAGCGACACCGGCGACCTCACCTTCGTCATCGATGAGACGCGCTGGTCCGCCAGAATGAGCCGGCGGCTGACGACTTTCGCGTTGATGAGGGAAATAGCACGCGGCGGCCGACCGAGGAGGAGCTCCTGAGCACTTTGGCTACCTCCCGTGCAAAGACAAGGCCATGCATCTCTGCTATATGCGCAGGTCACAGCTCGGGCTGCCGAACGGATGGAGGCCACGGCCACGGCGACTGCTGATGAGGATGCCGAGTCGCCGCGGCAGACCGCGTTCGGCAGCGGGGATCCGCGCGTGAAGGAGTGGGTCGCCGGCCCGTTGGCGACGGCGACGGAGGTAGCGGCCGAAGCGGCGGCGCTTATCACGCCTGCGCCCGGCCCTGCTGCTGTAGACAAACTGATGTAAGGTGATACAGAAAGCTATACTATGTATGAAATCCATTTGTTCCAATTGGCTCCTTTGTCATTGGGCAATCAAGAAGATTGGTGTTGTTGGCGGTCTTGTTTTCCTGTAGAGCCCCGGACTTATTTAACGTGCTTACTGCCAGGGGTGCATCATGCATGCAAGAGGGATGCAAGCCAAGACATGCTAGCTTCTTCCATATAAAGCCCCAATGACCCCTCCCATAGCCTCTCATCTTCACCTTTCGCGTTTCTCAGAGCACGTATGATGTGATTGTCGGCCAGCTGCAGATAGCCAACATAAATCTTTGTCAGCCCGCAATATTTTGTTTGTGCACCAAAGTGTGAGAAGTAGGATTTCAAGAGCGTTTTTTACAGGCTACAGACTTCATGAAACTTTGATATTCACATCTCAACCCTCCATATGGAGAGCCTATCTTTCCATCGCGACGTGGCCCAAGACCTCACGCAATTTTACACCAAGTTGGCAACAGCGCCTTACCTGTCGCCCGACAATATCCAACAACCCCCGCCCGAGGGATGGAGCGACACTGAGCTGGACGTAGATGGCCTGCGAAATACACTAGGCCGTTCTGATTCTGCCGTGGACCTCCTACGCCACCTTCCCTACTTGCGGCCCGTCGACGCAGGCCCTCATACGGGGCAATGGCCCATCTTCCCAAAGACTAAGGCCATGCGATACTTGCAAGACCGCAGCTCGCTGCTGGAGGAGCACTTGGAGGGCTTGTTTGAGCTAGTCCACCTTCCTCCAGACATGATCAGCTTAACGTACCCTGCCGGTGAATACACGCTTTACGGTCCGCAATGGTGGCTTGTGGACTGTAAGAGTGGTCGCATTGTCAAGTACGAGGGACCACCACGTGGCGAGGCGTTAGCGGAGGAGTTCGAGACCGAGTGGAAAAAGGCACCATCTTACAGCCCAAGCGAGTTTTTCGCAGAGGTCACCACGATGCTCGGCAAAGACTACTACCCCATTCCCGGCCTGGTCGACGGCATCGAGCCTGACTTCTCCACCCCTGATCGCCGAGAGATTGCCTCCTCCATGTACCAGACCTACATGCTGGCGGGATGGCAGCACGGCCGCGGACCTGGACCAGCCTTTGATCGTGAGAAATGCCGGAAAGACTTGGAAGACTTTTTGAAGGATCGACAAGAACGCGAGTCGAGAAAGCGAAAGGCAGAGGCCTCCCGACACGAATCTCGACCGCCGCCACGAGAGAGAAGAGATCCTGCGACGTACCCCGCTGGCTATAATAGGGACGTCATCGTTGCCGGCCTGACGAAGTACTACAAAACGCTGGCCCAGATGGCCTTCTTTCCTGCATCGCTAATACAGTACCCGCCAGGCGGGCGCTGGGGTGATGATACCTTCCTGCCGGCCGATAAGACGCGCCTTCTGGGCTTCAACGACCGTGTCATTGACCTGCTACGACACCTGCCATATCTTGACGTCGATGAGACCCACGAAGATAACCGCTGGCCCGTTATAGGTCGCAGCGAACCGCAGCGTTACCTTGAGGACAACCCCGAATTGAACGAGAACTTCACGGCGGACAAGGCTACCCCCGAGCGCCTGTACGCTCACGGTCTCTTCCCTTTCGCCGAGAAGATGCCTGATGGTCTGGTTCCCATCGCGGGCGGCGGAGGCGAGGGCAGCGATAGCGGCGAGTGGTGGATCATCGATACCAATGCTGGCACCGTCATTGTCTACGATGCTGGCAACAAGCAAGTCCAGGATGCCCCGAGTGACCAGCCCTGGCTGTGGACACCGCCGCGACCTGCCGGACCGTTCTTTGATGCGCTCGTTGACAGCCTGTATTCTCTTGACCTGGTGCCTTTGCCTCGTCCTGAAACGGAGGACGCAGAGTATTATCCCGAAATTTGGGGTACGATTCGAGAAGGGGAGGAAGAGGAAGATGAGCTGGTAGACCCCGGGATTGAGGTATGTGTCTTTATTGTTGGTTTTGTCATATTGCATATGCTCTGGTGGTATGTCGGACTGACGGCATTGGGAATAATTCTTGGACGCTCGGGATATCTACCGCGAGCATGGGTGGCCGAACCTGGCTGGGTTTCGACGAAAGGAGTGCTATGATGCGTTAGTCGAGTTGCGAACCAAGCTGGTGGAGGAGGACGAAGAAGAGGATTATGGACCTGCTTAGTGGACTGCACAGAGGAGAAGGCCATGTTACTCTGTCATGAACTCGGTATGACTTGAAGGTCGAAAGTGGAAGCGAGAAGGCGACCGGGCAGATTGAATTTTCGGAGAATATCCAGCGACTAAAACGGATCATGATACAAATCAGGCAGATATAATACATCTTCGTACGGCACGCTCGCGACTCAAGAGTCACCACGACCATCCTCCATCATGTCCATCACGTGGCGGCTTTGAAGAAACCACTCCTCCAATTGAGCGGCCTGCGTTCTTGCTCCAGGAATCTGATGATCAGTCCCGGATTGACCTAGATTCCCGTCGCCAGTATTAACCCCGGTCGGCTGTGCATGTGACGTAGAAGAGCTGTCGTTTAGGTCAGCGAAGCCAGTGCCATCAAGAGCCATCGTCGCGGATGGTGCCGAATGTGACATGAACTGGTCCAGCGACGTCAGCGCCGAGATATTGTGCCACTGCACTGGCTCCGCAACAGGTGCTGTTTGGTGGTATATCATTTCGAAGGTAATGTTGTCGGACATCACTCCTGAGGCAGAATGAGACTTTGCTTCAATGTACTTGAACGCTGCGCTGTACAGCGGTTTGAAGGTCTTGAGCAGGTGATTGGTGCTGAAGGTATCCCGATCTTGACCAGCCTCCAGAGAACTGACTAATGCATCCAGTAGTTCGAGGTCGGCCGCATTCACAGTCCAAATTACATTGCAGAGTATGACGAAGAATGGGACGAAAGTGGATGAAAGAAGCGTCCTGTGCGCAGATGTCAGCTCTTTAGAACTTGAAAACCTGGGATCGATGGAAGCAACCAATTGATGCACATGTCAAATAAGTGGGTGTCGCGGGAATCGATCAGAGACATGCTTCTTGTGTGTTCTTTGAGAGCTTCTCTAGCTGTGCTGATGCATTCTTCGCAGAAAGGTACGTTGTTCTCGCATATGCTGCGATAAATCAAGCACATAAGAGACAAGTGTGAGATTTTGTCGCATTGAATGAAGATGTCGTCGAATGTGTTCCCGAGGACTCGTCGTCTGTCTTGAAGGAACTCAGTCTACACAATTCAGTCAGCGACACGCCAGACACGATCAAACCACGAAGATTGTTGAACATCGCGTACCTCGTAAGAGTCTGCATCGTTGATGACCTCTTTCAAGTCAGCTATCAGACTCCGAGCTCGGGAGTTCCTCGTGTTGGCGTCCTGATGTAGTGCTTCTGGACTGTAGATCTCGTCGTACACCCTGCCCTCAATTTGCGAAATCCGTAGCCATTTTGGAGAAAGAACGCCTAGCGAGCCCCCTACCTGGTATCCCATCTTGATGGCCTTCAGCGGGACCGTGATGTCGTGATCGCGTAGTGTGGAAGATCGGCCGAGTTGCAAAGAGAGATTTTTCTCCAAGATGAACATGGCCCAGAACAATTTGGACTTTTGACGAGTTTCAGAGTCAAAGCTATGGTCCCGTTGAGAAGCTGTCCGGTGCAAGCCCATGGCCTGACTCATTCGAGATGCCGTACTGATGTAGGTCCATGCCATAGTTGGTTTGGACTGGCCCATACAATATTCGGTCTAAAGTTTACACGGTCTGTCAGAACAATCCTGCACAATACCCTACTAGGTATGTACCTATGATGGGTCTCTCTAGTCGGAATAGATGGGCCGTACTTACAGCCATTGTGAGAGCTAGAATGTATTCCACCGATGTGGGAAGATGGAAGGAAAGTTGCGAGAGGACATGATCCGCATGGCTCTGACATACAGTGCCGTAATTCAGATACGTCCGTTGAACAGAAGTATCGGTTGAGAATTGACCACTTTGAGTGAACAACCAGTAAAGACCAATATATGCGATGATCAACTCCGCCATCGATGGGGCTCTATCAGTTGAGTAGACACCGAGCAACTGTTCAGTGACTTGGCCTACAGATTCGAACTGCATCATCCAGAAGTACCTCATCATTGGAGTTTCTGTTACCATTGGTGTCAACCAAGGACAGCAGGGACGGCACCGCGGCGTCTAGTGAATGCCACCAGCGAACATTTACTTCACTCACCTTTCAGCATGCGCAAACAGTTCAACGTGAGCTGTACGGGAGGCAGTGATTCCTGTGCAAAGTGTTCACCGGCGTGCGGCGTTCCATGACAAGCACCTGTCATATCAGTATTAAGGGTACCGACTGTCCTGATAGTGTTTCGAATATCCTTCATCATGGACGCCATTTCGTCATAGTGGGAGATGGGCAGGTTAGTAGTCACAGTATTCTCCAAAATTCGAGTCGTGAAGTCCGCGTGGGCAGCTAAAGATGAGTCACCCTCATATTCGACCTGGTCGCGAGGGGTTTGGGGATCCCGTTGACTTCCTTGCAAACTTGTCCCTGAGTCTGCTGGAATCTGATAACTTCCGCTCGAACCCACAAGATCGGTTGTTGACTTGTTCGCCTTTGGCCGACTGTTGTCCTCCAGCATGATGCACAGCTTCTGAAGCCTTTCAGCAATGTCATCTACCTTTTCCTCGCTTGCATGGGCTTAGCCGAGATCGGTCATGAAATGCCATGCATGACCTACATATGACCCAACGAGACACCACTGCGTTCTCGCTTCGGTCTTGCCTTGTATCCCATCATGTATGTGCACTGTACATCTAGGCGGCGGCATCGTGAACACGGCTTTTGGCGATCACAGCCAACCTGATAAAAGGCCGTTAATCTCAAAACAGTCGACTCCGCTATCTTGTTTCAATCCTGTGGAACAAGTACCTTTCGCACACGGCAACTGTCACACTGTCCAAATCAGGTGTGTCAGTCAATTCTGCCCCATTCACAGCACAAATTCGCCACGCCATACGGTAATAACAATCCGGCTCTTGCGTCAGGAAGATCCAAACGGGGTAGAAGGCAAATGAACGGAAGCCCACTCACCGAAAGATTGTGACGGTCGCTTCCCCCACGCTCGACATGCTCTGTGACTGAATTTGGACCTGAGTCTGTGGTCTCTTGCGAAGTCTCCATCATCACACTGATGATAGGCCTAATCAGTGCCAAATCAAGGTCGCGGTTACCAAAGATGGCAAAGTTCGGATTGTATCGGGGTAAAAGATGGCAACCACATCCGACGAGGCAAGGGGTGAGGAACTTCAAAGACAATCGAACGGATCGGAGACGGAGGCAAGCTTCCTTATACATGCAGGAAAGTGGGGTCAAGTGCGGAGTTTCGGGGGGCCGAGCTCTCCGCACAGCACTGCCATGCCGTTCCGGGCTCGGCACGCCCGCCTACCGATGATTGGATTGGATATCCATCATCCAAGATTGTATTGCATGCTTTTGGCAGAAACTCAGGGGCAATGAATGATAGTGGATTCAGCAAATTTTCATCCTGGGCTTGCTCTGGGGAGAAGGTACGGCGGCCTAATACTACGTCACCGAAAGGGGAGCTGCATCGAAGGCAATCCCCCAAGGGCCCCGCGTACATGGTTCACCAGCAAAGCTTCTGAGAAAAACCACATCCTCTTTGAAAACTTTCCACACGGAAACCGCACCTCCAGAAGTCACATTGAGTTTATGTTTGGCTACTCCCTTCACTATCTTTGCCACACATTCGGCCGCAAACCTCCTCAAAATGTCGCAGATCATACCGCAGGATCCGAGCGCTCTCGACTCTTCTGCTGTTACCGCCAAGTCACGCTACCGCGAAGACTTATGCGACAATCGTGTCAGTGGAGATGTCTCTGGCGAGACGCTGGCCGATGATCTCCTTGGCCATCTTGGTTACGACCCTCAGCTCAAGCGAAACCGGTCTACGGCTCACGTCGCTTTCATGGCCTTTGTGCTAGCAGCGAACCCTTACGGCCTCGCGACCACCTTGAACTATCCTCTCATAGGAGGCGGTCCAGTGAACATTATTTGGGGATGGCTCCTGGTTGCGCTGATTGTCATATGCGTTGCCGCCTCTCTTGGCGAGATTACCAGTGTGTATCCAACTGCGGGAGGTACGAACTTCAAATTTCATCTTATCAATTGTTTTGCCAACAAATTTCATTCCTTCAAGTACCTGACGTGGCATGCAGGTGTATATTACCAAGCAGCAATGTTAACGCCGCCCAAATATCGGGCGCTCGCAAGCTGGATCTGTGGCTGGCTTTTTGTAGTGGGAAACATGTCAATCACTCTCTCTGTGAATTTCGCAACTGCACAATTCTTTGGTGCCTGCATCAATGTTTTTGAGTCGGAACCTGGTAAGGGAATATTCCCTGGTGAGACATACCAAGTCTTCCTCGTCTTCGTCGCTATAACATTGTTGTGTAACGCCGTCTCGTCTCTTGGAAATCGCTGGCTGCCATGGATTGACGTGAGTTTGCCTCCTACTCATACCATTAAGGGTGCTCGCTGAAGTAGAAGCAGACGGCTGCTATATTCTGGACATTTGCCGGAGTGTTTGCTATCACCATTGCTGTCCTAGCTATCGCAAAGAATGGCCGACATTCAGCCGCATACGTTTTCACCCATTTGGAGACACAATCTGGGTGGCCTGATGCATGGTCCTTCTGCATTGGTCTCATGCATGCTGGCTATGCTACATCGTCAACCGGCATGATTATATCGCAAGTTCTCTCAGTCCACTTAGTCTAAGAACGCTAACTAATTTGCCTCTCTGTGCAGCATGTGTGAGGAGGTTCGGCGACCCTCAGTCCAAGTACCCCGAGCCATGGTGGCAACAGCCTGTATCAACACGGTCGCTGGCCTTCTATTTCTGATCCCTCTTGTGTTCGTGCTCCCTGACATTCAACAATTACTCGCCGTATCCGCTGGCCAGCCTGTTCCGACGATAATAAAAAACGCTGTTGGTTCGCCAGGCGGCGCTTTCGCTCTACTCATGCCACTGGTAATACTGGGAATCATCTGTGGCATCGGCTGCTCCACAGCGTCCTCGCGATGTACTTGGGCATTTGCAAGAGACGGCGCTATACCGGGCTCTCGGTGGTGGAAACAGATTCACCCTAGACTCGAGGTTCCGCTAAATGCGATGATGGCCTGTATGACTGTTGAGGTTTTGCTAGGCTTTATATACTTCGGGTCTCCAGTCGCGTTCAGCGCATTTTCTGGCGTGGGTGTTATTTGCCTGACGTGCTCGTACGCAACACCGATTGCGATCAGCCTTGCGACAAGGCGTAAGAGCTTGAAGACGGCAGCTTTCAACCTCGGGAGGATGGGATACTTCTGCAACATTGTGAGCATAGGTATGCGCCCCTGTCTTTCAATCAATGTCTCTCACTAATTATGGTGTTTGAGGTTGGTCTCTGTTAGCGGTACCCTTATTCTGCATGCCATCCCCCCTTCCTGTCACGGCAGCGTCTGTCAATTATGCATCGGTTGTCTTCGTGGCCTGTACCATCTTCTCTGCGGGCTGGTATGTGGTTTGGGGTCGTGACCACTACTCTGGCCCTCCGACCACAGGTTAAGACTTTGATACCGAGCTTCGGTTATCATTCTATTGAAACTTTAGAGCTTCTTGAATCTGTAACTATTGCACAGTCGCGAAGTAAGTTAGTGGTGTACCAATGCCAGGCGCGGGTTTAGTGTCAGCTAGTCAATGGCGCGGTGGGTCAATAGAAGCACGGCATTAGAGCCGCTCAATCAGTCAGGCAGGAAAATTCCCACGCGAAAACTACCACAGCTTGAAGAGCTCTCTGAAGACTGTCTGGCACATGGCGTTTTCTCAAGAGCTACCACAACCGAGGGGGCGTAGAATCACTAGCCACTACGATCCCTAGACGAATGTTGAAATTCGAATTTAATGCATCCTATTCCTAGGGTTGTCCATCCAGCATACGTCTCATTCAAGGACGAGGACATCTTCGAACCCAACGTGGTGCTGCTTATGTACAATATCCAGTATCTTAAACATGAAAATTATGATTGTGAAAAAAGAGGGAGAAAGAAACGAAATGAGGTTTTTGAGGCCACCTGCGTCAACCAAATAGTCAAGACGGAGACGATGCTCAAGCTTCAGATCTTCCCCACGCCGGCGTTGTTGGTAACAGTGCTCTTCACGCTGCTGGCCTGGATAGGAGTGACGAGGTAGGCTTTGGCGCTTGCCATGGCGGAAAGACCAGAGGTGTCTTTCATGCTGGCAAACTTGCCACTGCTGGACAGAGAATTCGCAACGCAGTTGCGGCCAAGGCTGCTGGAGCAGAGGCCCAGAGAAGCCGAATCGGGAGCGTTGAAGATGGTGCTGACCTTCTCGGCCTCGGCTGTCATCGGCAGGGTAACTGACTCGAACACGTTACCCTCGATCAAGGCGGAAGTGCCGGCATAAGCGTCAAAGGCGTGTCCTAGCATGTTCGAGAACAGGTTGTTGGTCGCCTGGACTGTGGTTGTAGCACCGCTCTGGCCAAGCTTAGGGGCTCGGCCGGACAAAGCATGCCAGTAGTTACGGTCAAGAGTGACTTTGTCGCCAGTTGCGATGAACATCGCAGTCCAGTAGTGGTTCCCGTTGCAGGTGGCTGACGTTGTGGTGGTGCCATCGAATTCCGTGTTGGAGATGGTCAAGCGGCTGGCTGCGAAACTTGATAAAGCAGTTAGTGATTTGTGTTTCTCTGAGTGTACTGTAGCGTGGTGAATTTACTGGGTAACAACAAACATGCGCCCAACCTTGCTGAACTTGCAATGGTCTACCCAGACGCCGTCATTGCCTTCGAGCTGGAGGGCATCTCCGCCCCAGACATCGCGGGGGTTGATGTTCTATGTCTATCAGCAAGAAACCAGGTAATCAAGATCCGACGACTTACCGTGATGTGCACATTCTGAATGATCACGTTCTTGGAGGTAGCGGGAAGCCTCAGACCCTTGCCTTGAATCACGCCCTTGCTCCCAACCCCGACGATACTCTTGTTACTGCCGACAACCAAAGAAGTCGCTCCAGCCTTATCGTAAGAGATCGAGGCTGAGACCATGCCGCTTCCGGTGCAACTGTTGCTGCCGATGTAATCCTGACCGCCGTTGGCCAAGGTGCATGTTGTGCTGGTGCATCCCGTTTCGGTCGCAGTACCCTCCGAGCCGACGAAGTCGAAGGTTTTGTCGATGAGAATGACACGGGCAGTACTGTCGGACAGCCAAGTGGCAAGCCTATAATCGCGAGTCCACCGATCAGTTTTCCGTTCTTTCAGACAACCTAGCCATTTGAGCAAGCTTACTCTGTAATGTCCTTAGGAGCCGCAGCAGTGGCAGAGCCTCCACCAGTGACGCCCTTAGCAAAGCCATACGCGGTTCCCTTCACTTGCGCAGCAACGAGAACAGGGGCAAACCCCAACAACATAGAAGTAAAGAGATGCATTGTAAACGAGAGAATGAGCTGAAGGGCTTAATGATCGGAGGAAGTGAAGCAGAAAGGTATGACTCTCAAGACAATGAGTAATATTATGATCGTGTAGGCTGTATCTCTTAAATATACCTTACATCTCCTTGGTAGGAGGAAGGGAGGCAAGTGCCACGGCGCTGCTCAAGAATCGACCGTGAGGCTAAAGTAATTCTACACCATCGGCCGAGATTTGATCAAGACAAAACAATAACGTGTCATTCAACTCCTTTAGGATACGTCAACCGATGTTTCAATGTAGTGTATGTGGGAGACTGAGCAGTGGCATCTTCCGTTGTTAGTTCCACAACTGGACTTCCACATCGTTAACAGAAACATCAAAGGTATCTTTCCCCGCTTCTCATCCTTCGCTTACCATATGAATACACTACTTGGACTGCATTGAGACAAAAGCGGCCGAGACGGCTGGGAGGAACTATCCGTGCGGAGTGAAAGTGGTGTTACAGTCTCTCCCTCCACCAACCACATTTCTCAGAACAGGGAGGAGTTATCCGGGGGAGAAAGGGTGATTTGTATGGTCCCACTCTTCCGCCAATCACTTCCCTCAAATTGCCCTCCGCCAATGCCACCTCCCCCAATGCAGATGGTCATTTCTCCGAACTTCTGACGTCTGATCTGAACTTTTAACTGAGCTAACCACCCGAAGGACACATCCTAGTTGCCAGAACGTACACTCGTTCGTTTTATTTATATCTGCGGCTTTCCCTCGAATTTTGCGCCCAGGTCATCCTTCGATCGGCATGCAAGCGGTACGGGTGCATGCCATACGTGGTGTGAGTCGCCACGCCGCCACGGCGATCAGGCGATAGCGTAAATAAAAAGATACTGGACCAGTTGGGCGACGATCCGCGGTGCACTCTTCTCGCTAGCCAGAGCACCCCTTCGTGACAGTGAATTGTGGCTTCAGTCTGGCTCGTGGATTTTCCCTCGCAGAGAGCTAGTACCAAATGTCATTCGTTATTGGTGTACTCAATACCGAGCGTTCTGAATGCTAAGAATGGAAAGCATGAATGACCTTGTCGATCTAGAAGTCTCGCGCTAGGCTTACAAGTGTCCTCAAATATGACGCTGATAGGAAGGGCAGTTCATCAGTGGAGTGGTCCGCCAACACCCTTGTGATCTACTTGCCTGCGCCACTGATGTTGGCGAAGAAGGTGCTTCCTTCGGAGATCAAAGGTGGACACGACGAACATGTCAGGGTAGGACACAGCATGCATGCGTGCACAATGATGATGCAGCTTCAACTGCGATGAAAGGAGGCAGGCCGCATCAAAATATTTCGGGCAGGATTGGTCGTTTGAGTCTGCTTTTGAGGTGCCCCGGCCCTCGTCACTTCTTCTTAGTAATAATAACAGCAAAACTCCCTAATACTAGAATAAGAAAGGTCTGTTAATATAAGCCAAATACTAATGTTTGTAGCCTGTGGCATGGTTTCTGCGGGCTGGTCTGTAGTCTGTGTTTATGATCATTATGTTGGTAGTCCGACCACAAGCTAAGACTGTGATACTAAGGTGCAATCATTATTTCAATAGGATTTTAGAGCTAGGATATTTTATGTCATTGAATCAACAGTGAAATTAGCATACGATAATACGTCGGAATGGTCACTTGGGGAATAGCAATCATGACAGAGCTAACACTTTTCTAGGATATGAAGATGTCCCTGGAGGAACAACAAATACCCGAGCTTGTCATACTTATCCCGAATGCGACTCAACGGTTTTCATGTATATCATTATGTTCATACCCGCTTTCGCCTTCACAAACGGAATAACTGGAGGGGGGACGACTCGGCCACCAGCGCCTCCACAAGGGCAATCAAAGCAATTTTGACCCCCATACTTGTTAACTTAGCTCTTTTTTTGGGCTGGGCATACCTATAAGTGGGGCGATAGCCTATATAAGGCCTCCTATTAGCTAGAGTATAAGACATCAAATATTTCAATTCAATCGAGGGGTATCGGATTGATCGATTGGGTAGTGGCGATAGCCTCACTTTGCTTGGTTAGGTTATTTGCGTTATCAATTTACTTGCCCTTGTGGAGGCGCTGTCGGCCACCCCAAAGCAAGCAAACTTGTCAAGTTCAATCAATCAATCAATCAATAATGGAGCTATCGGCAGGCAGTCAAGTCAAGTTTGAGCTTCAAACTTGCTTGATTCCCTTGACTCTTTCGAGGTGGGGGGAGGGCTTGAAGGGAGCTTGAAGGGGCCTTGAGGAGGCCAAGGACGGGATCATGGAAAATCCGGAATGAAAAGCTGTTGATTCATCCCGATTTCCCCGGCCCCGAAACTCCTCTCCCAGCCCCGAAACCCCGGCCCCGGGGCTTCCCTGCTGTACACTCTAGAGCCCTCTCCTCTAGGGCCCCCCTAATGTATAGGTAGGGGTATTTGCCAAACACTTGCAATTGATTGGCAATCAATCAAGTATGGCATCGCGATATGACAATCAAGTCAAGCTTGGGCCTCAAACTTGATTGATTGCCTTGGGGTGGGCCTTCGGAATGAGGAAAGTCTGAATTCAAGACGCTTAACCCAGCACTGATTTATCAGGAATCTCTTCTGGCAAAGCCAGAATTACTTGAGAGCAACTTCCATCGCTGCCATCTCCACCAGGTACATACCGGGAAATGCGAGCTAGTCTGATCTCAGTTTCCTGACTCACCGCCTCGGTCGTCTTGGTCGGAGTTTCGGAGGCGGAAGAGTTTCTCAAGACGGTGGCCCGCGGCACGACGTCAGTCCCGCTCCGCTTTTTCAACTCGGCGAAATGCATCTGGATCATCACGACAGACGGACCGTTCCCCGTCAGGGGTGTCAACCTAATCGCAGTCTCCAACCTTCGGCACCCGAAGCTTCGTCTCGCCGCCAAGAAATGTTACTGGTGAGCGAGGAAATAGTCGACAAAGAGGGATGAGTTATAAAGCATGCCATTCTTCGTAAAACAACAATGGCCTTTTGCTATGATTCAATTTTCTGAAAACGTCCACTACCAATATTGCAAATTAGCTAGTCTTGGCTGTTGACAAACGCTCACTCAACATGGCGTCACTAGTTTTCGGCGAGGGTAAAGATTTCGGTTTACCGTATCTTTTGCTTGCAACGGCGCCTTTCATCATATACTTTTTCATGTGCAGAGAGAGTCTTCATGAGGGCTTTCCGGTTGCTGGACTTCCTCCAGATGGGCATAGCGACCTCCAAAAGGCTCGTGAGAGATGGCTTGTGGACGGTCCAAACATCCTTCGCGAGGGGCTCAAGAAGGTAAACGACCTTCTTAGCCGACTTCATGCTTCCATACTGATATGTCAACAGTTCTCCGGTTGTTTCCAGGTGATTACAACTTCAGGGCCAAAACTCATCCTACCTGGCAAATTTGCGGATGAGATCCGAAACGATACCAGAATGGATTTTAGGAGGGCCATTCACAAGGTACGTCAACGTATGATTCTTCTTACCTTGTCCTACATCATGTGCGGCTATTAAAACATCCGACGTTGCGATAGGAATTCTTTGGTAGTTATCCCGGATTTGAGATGTTCGCTGAAGGCCCTCAAGATCAGATTCTTGTGGAGATGGTAAGAGGGAGATTGACTCAATCTCTGAGTAAGACAACGCTCCATAACTTGTAAATGGCTCAGAACTTACACGAGAACGCAGATTTCATCACAGCAGATCTGGCCGAGGAGACCGCGCAGGCGACGGAGCACCTTCTTGGCGCCCCCAAGGGTATCCATTAACCCCGAGGACTCCCACCTTTGCAACAGCCTCGCTGACGTTCGATAGACTGGACAGAGTGTCAGTTCAAGTCAGTGCTCTTACAACTGGTCGCCCGCGTTTCGTCACGTGTATTTGTAGGCCCCGAGCTGTGCGCAAACCAAGAATGGTTGGACGTTTCAGTCAACTATACTGTTCACTCCATGATTGCCGCAGAGGCTTTGACAAAGTGGCCGTCGTTTCTCCGACCTTTCGTTCACTGGTTTCTGCCCGAAGTCCGAACCCTGAAGGCAGAGGCTTCTCGTGCGCGACAGATCATCAAGCCAGTCTTTGCCAAGCGGAGGGAAGCGAATCGTATTGCTCGCGACGCGGGTGAGAAAACCACAAAGGTTGCCGACACCATTGGATGGCTGGACGAGGTTGCCAAGGGCAGAGCTTATGATGATGGTCTCGCACAGCTTGGACTTTCATTTGCCGCCATTCACACAACTTCGGAGCTGTTGAGTGGTATCATCTCTGATCTCTGCGACCATCCCCAGTGGTTCGAACCTTTGCGAGAGGAGATGTGTTCGGCGATCAAAACACACGGCTGGTCTAAGAAGGCTCTGCAAGACATGAAGTTCACAGACAGCATGATGAAAGAGTCTCAGCGTCATCATCTGGGAGACATTGGTGAGTCGAGAGCCTCCGGGATGTAGCTCTCCCCTTTGCTAACATATTCAGCGGCAATGCACCGTGTGGCATCAACAACGGTTGAACTTTCCGACGGAACTCGTATTCCCCAAGGTGCCTACACAATGGTCGCACTTGACAAGATGGAAGACCCCGCTATGTTTGAGGATGCTTCTGGCTACCATCCGCGGCGGTTCCTAGATATGCGTCAAAAACCAGGTCAGGAGAACAAATGGCAATTCGTGACGACCGGACCCGAACACTTGGCCTTTGGTCATGGTCTGCACTCCTGCCCTGGGCGATTCTTCGCGTCCAACGAGATCAAGGTCATCCTGGTTTATCTCCTCACCAAGTACGAATGGAAATGGGCCACGGATGGGCGTAAAGAAGATTCATTCAGTGGCCTCTTTGCTTCGGCGGACCCTACTGCCACAGCTTTGATCAGAGCCAGAGATTGTGAAATCTCTCTTTGAGGCCTTCTCGCATGGACCATTGCCCAGGAGAATCTCTCATAAATGGGTTGATAACCTGACCCCAGAATCCCTGGAATAACGGCGGGAAATAAAGCTATTTGCATACTACGTATCGTTGCTAGAAATACTCTTTGGTAGATAGCATCAATCAGAAAAGCCTGAGGCAAATTCTCTCCAGGTGTCAATAGTTGCCAAGTACTACTCTTTAGGTTGATCAATAACATGAAGGGCATGGAAGTACATGTAGCAATGCAAAGTTGAAAGGGAAAAGGGATGCCCGCTTTTAGTGACAAGGTAAATAACTTATTCCATGGCACTTGGATATGTAAACGTATCCAGAAAAACTGAAAGAGTGCACAAATTGTGCGGCAGAAGTGCGGCAGAGAATCCCAATTAGTGGTACTTTAGCCCATTGAAACAGATGGGTTCCTTACCAGTATCCTCGCAACTGCCATCCGTGCATTGCAATAAAAGGAATCTATGGTTCATTCATGACGCTCTTGACGACGAGTAAGCTGAAAGTCTGTCTAAATGATGAGCAAATCTCTAGAGCGGTACCTCAAGCGCGAGACCCCGGCTATGTCATCGTCGTGACTCGGGCTCCGTGGGTTCCATGAACGAGGCGATCTGATGTCCGCGGAAACGTGAGCTTGGCAAACGGGGTTTCGCAACCTGAACTCCCTCCGAAACGCCGCTTCCTCCTTTTCGCAGTATTGGACCTGCGGGACTCATTCCAAGGCAAAGTAATTAACATCGGCCTTTTGACAGCTTTGATGATTGTTGTTGATGGGGACGCAATTTAGTAGTAGCGTTGAAATTGTCGGAGGCGGTATGTCCCACGTCCGCGAGCGCGGACGTTCATCTCGTTGACTCTCAGTGAACAAGTCCAGCTTGCCGAGCTAAAAGCTCTCATACCACTTAAAGGCTGGTAATACTGCCCAGGTGAAATGATCTTACTTTGTTTCATCTCATCTTTCTCCCATACTGTCAAACTCCTTACTCACTTCACTTTATTTGAATTTTAATCAGCTGGAAGCTTCAATGGGCACTTCCCGGGAGAAATTATCAGCCAAAACTGGCAACCAGCAGGGAGCCACCACCCGAGGTGATCCTGGAGTTCTGCCGAGCTACTTCGTAACCAAATACCTCCTCTTGAATGTCTTGGTGTTAGGATTTGTAGCTGATGCGGATTCCTACAACAGAGAATATTTCGATATGGCGACACCACCGATATCTCCATGCAGCTCGTTGCAGCAACCTGCGCACTTGCATCTGGCGTCGGCATGGCCATGGTGAACCTCGTGTTCGGTCAATTTATCACTGTGATCACCGATTTCACCACAGGCGCATCTTCGCCAGGAGAATTTCGCAGCGAATCAGCGCGACTTGCGTACGCTTACTTATAACTAAATCCAAGAGGCAGAGACTAACAAAGTTAGGCTCTATTTCTTCATAATTGGCATCGGCAGATTTGTGGTTTCCTACGGTTACAGCACCCTGTTTACCCTCGCCGCATACCGGATCACTCGCAACATTCGCCATGCATACCTAAAAGCAGGACTCACTCAAGAGATAGCTTACTTTGACTCGGGCATTGGCGGCTCGGTCGCGGTGCAAGCTACCTCTCATGGTAGACTGGTTCAAGCTGGAATTTCAGAGAAGCTTGGCCTCGTCATTCAGGGTCTCTCTGCCTTCATCTCAGCATTTGTTCTGGCCTTCGTCACTAACTGGAAGCTAACCCTCATCACCGGCTGCATTGCACCAGCTACAATCTTTGTGATGAGCGTGGCATCCTATCTAGAAGCCGCGATTGAGATTCAGATTCTCGGTTGGAACGCGCAGGCTGGATCGTTTGCGGAGAGCATTCTTGCTAGCGCTCGTACAGTCCAGGCATTTGCGCTTCGATCCAGGCTGATCACGGACTTCAACACATACCTCGAAAAGTCGGCCAAGCTTGGGCGAAAGAAGAATCCTATATTGGGATGCCTATTTTCGGCGGAATATTTCATTCTCTTTTCTGGCATCGGACTTTGCTTTTGGCAAGCTATTGGCATGCTGGCGAGAGGCGAGACTAAAGCACCCGGAGATGTCTTCATGTGAGCTCAACACCAATCACATCCAAGAATAGCTGCTGACCTCTTACAGTGTCCTGATGTCCGTCATCGTCGCAGCTTCGAGCCTGACCGCCATTACTCCCTACCTCATCGACTTCACCCGAGCAGCGACTGCAGCGGTAGAGCTTTTCAGACTCGTCGATCGGAAGTCGATAATAGATCCGTTGGACCAATCTGGTGATCAACCCCAAAACGTCACCGGCAACATCGATTTTGAGAATGTCTCTTTCAATTACCCCATGCGTCCGGACACAAAAGTCCTCGACAACTATTCCCTTCACATCCCAGCTGGAAAGACGACAGCCTTGGTTGGTGCCAGTGGCTCTGGTAAAAGTACAATTGTTGGTTTGCTGGAACGATGGTATAACCCTGCGTCAGGAACAATCACCTTGGACGGAAGGCCAATCGAACAGCTCAACCTCCAGTGGCTGCGGAAGCAGATCCGACTTGTGCAGCAGGAACCGATCCTTTTCAGTGGTACCGTATACGACAACATTGTGAACGGACTCGTTGGGACACCATGGGAGAACGAGCCTCGTGAAGCCAAGCTGGCTCGTGTTCAACAAGCGGCAGAAATTGCCTTCGCACACGACTTCATCAAGACTCTCCCAAACGGATACGACACAGTCATCGGCGAACGTGGAGGGCTTTTGTCTGGCGGTCAAAAGCAACGTGTCGCTATTGCTCGCAGCATTATTTCCCAGCCCCGGATTCTTCTTCTCGATGAAGCTACTAGCGCGCTTGATCCCCATGCAGAACAGGTGGTGCAGCAAGCTCTTGACAACGTCTCAAGAGGGCGAACGACCATCACGATCGCACATAAGCTGGCTACCATTCGAGATGCTGACAATATCGTTGTCATGAAACAGGGTCAGATCATCGAACAGGGCACCCACGACGCACTACTAGCAATGAACGGCGCGTATTCTCGACTCGTCATGGCCCAGGACTTAGCAATCACCGAGGAACCTTCTGACAGCACTTCCAATTCTGACACCATTGCCGAGGACGAAGACAAGTCCGTCCGACTCAGTCATGCTTTGACAAGATACTCCACCGCAACGCGACTCCGGGCGGAGCAACGAATCGACAAGGACAACTTCGACAACTGGAAACGTGTTGGATTTTGTGCCACGGTCTGGCGGCTTTTGAAATGCACTCCCGAACTCCGGTGGTACTACGCAGCTTTAACTGCAGCATGTTTCATTGCGGGTATGTAACCAAGCCCATTTGTCCTCAAGAGGTTTATTGTTGCTGACTTGGCATTCACAGCGGCGGCGTACCCCGGACAGGCTATCCTGATGTCAAGGTTCATCGAGGTTTTCAAGTTCACTGGGTCACAGATGCAGAAGAAGGGCAACTTCTTCGCCCTCATGTTCTTTGTTGTCGGTATTGGGGCCTTTGTGGTCTACTTTGTCATTGGATGGTGCTCGAATACCATAGCTACAGTCTGTTCTACCTCTCCTCTCATGTCATACATGTCTTCATTTAAGCTGACGCCTACCCAGACCTTCAACCAGAAAATGCGAAGGGAGCTTGTGGATAACATGCTCAAACAAGATCTTCAGTTCTTCGACCGACCGGAGAACACAACTGGGGCTCTGACGAGTAGGACGGACTCATACCCTCAAGCTGTGTTTGAGCTCATGGGATTCAATATCTCTTTGATTCTCGTGTCGATTGTGAGCGTTCTCGCCTGCAGCATTCTGGCGTTGGCATACGGATGGAGATTAGGCGTCGTCATTGTCTTCGCCGGCCTGCCCCCAATGCTCTTTGCCGGTTATGTTCGCATCAGGATGGAGTCTGCTATGGATGCAAAGATATCCAAGAGGTTTTCTTCCAGTGCCTCCATCGCATCCGAGGCAATTACCGCCATTCGCACTGTCTCTTCTCTGTCCATCGAGAAGTCTGTTCTCGAAAGATACACGAGGGAGCTAGATCACGCCAACAGTTTCGCTCGGAGGCCGATATTGCTCATCATGCTGCCTTTCGCCTTCACACAGAGTGTTGAATATGCTTTCATGGCTCTTGGATTCTGGTATTTCATACTCAAGCCACTCCCATTTACTTCGTCGCTTACTTGTTGACTTAGGTATGGCTGCCGTCTGGTATCATTCGGCGACATGAGCACGGTCAATTTCTTCGTCGCCTTCCTGGGCGTCTTCTTTTCTGGACAACAGGCCTCCATTCTCTTTGGCTTTTCTAGCAGTAAGTGTCCATTCTGAGTGGCAAATGCTTGCCGACTAATGCTCCAAAGGCATGACGAAAGCTGTCAACGCAGCTAATTACCTTTTTTGGCTGTCCGAACTGAAGCCATCGATTCGGGAAACTGATGAGAATGCATGCGTTGGGCCCTCGGACTACTCAACAATTGACCTTGAGCGCATTAAGTTCTCTTATCCTTTGAGGTCTGAAACAAAGGTCCTACAGGGTGTCGACCTGTCGGTGAGTTGTGTTCTGTATGCAGCAACCAGGAAAAATTGAAACTGACGAGATCTCAGATCAAGAAGGGACAATTTGTGGCCTTTGTTGGAGCATCTGGATGCGGAAAGAGCACTATGATTGCCATACTTGAGAGGTTCTATGATCCAGTCAGCGGTCACCTGAGGGTTGATTCTGTTGATGTTGATCGGATGAACCCGTGGCTTTTCCGAAAAGACGTCGCACTCGTACAGCAAGAGCCTGTCCTTTATCCAGGCACCATCAGGCACAATATCTCCATGGGTATTCCGACAGAAGATCCGTCAACCATTTCTGATGGAAGCATCATCGAAGCCTGCCGTATGGCCAATGCATGGGAGTTCATCAGCTCCCTGCCCGAAGGTCTCGATACTCAATGCGGAGCCAATGGCACTCAACTTTCTGGTGGCCAGCGCCAGCGAATCGCTATCGCACGTGCCTTGATCCGTAAGCCTCGTGTACTGCTACTCGATGAAGCAACAAGTGCACTGGATACACAATCGGAGCGCATTGTGCAAGAAGCGTTGAACCAGGCAGCTTCGTCTGGTGAGCGGATTACCATCGCTGTGGCACATCGGCTGTCAACCATCAGACACGCTGATGTAATTTGTGTTTTCCACGGCGGTAGAATCGTTGAAAAAGGTACTCACGAGGAACTTTTGGCAAAGGGTCCCATGTACAAGAAGATGTGTGAGGCCCAGAGCCTTGGAACCTAGAACTTTGGGAACAGATAGAATAGGATGCATAGAGCACCCAGCGCACTTAATACACATTTCGCGGAGTTCATTTACCTCAGCTGTCCGGGTATGTTACGCCAAATTTCTCAGACATTGTTTCAGTCGATGCCTATCGTCTTCTATTCACGAGATTGGAGCTCCCGAAGCACCCAGAGTTGCGTAAAACAATTTCGTCCGTCCCATGATGACCATCCGGCCATCTCTGGCGAATTGAAAATTGGAGACGCCGGAACCAAAGTAGATCTTCCCAATCAACTTTCCAGATGGATTCCACACGTGAATCCCATCCCCGCAGCCAGCATACACATTACCCTTTGAATCGCAGTGAATTCCTGCACCCAGTCAAAGTCAGAAACAATCGCACATGAGTCACGCTCTGGGATGTGCTTACCGTCAGGGATTCCAGGACTAACGTAGGCGAACGTCTTCCGGTTCTCCCAGGTGCCGTCCTCTTGTACGTTATACCGATAGCTTACAAAAGTCAGCGCCATTTCCTTCCATAGCATCGGATGAGTGTCAATCGTAACTCACATTGTCGAAGGATCTGTCAAATTCTCGCCAAAGAACGCATGAGCCATGCCGGTGTCTGTGACGTAGGCGTATTCGCCGTTGGGTGAAAACGTGATCCCTGCATTGGACCTAAGTCAGCCATAATCAAACAATGGGTGCATGGGCTTGAGACTTACCATTTGGCAAAGTAAACCCATCAGCCACAACTGACAGTGAACCTGTGGAAGGATCGAGTCGATAAACTTGATTCCTCAGGCCGGGCGTCGGCCGGAAATTCTGAAGATATCCGTAAAGGGTGTCGGTGAAGTAAATGTTTAGATTACGGGGATTGACAGCGACGTCATTGAGTGAGTTGAAAGCTCTGCCAAAGAAGTTGTTGACCAAAACTGCACACAGGACGTTAGGCGCAACCATTCATCAAATTCTGTGATTGATTCTGGATACCACTCACCTGTAGTGTTGTATGGTTCGACAGGATTCATCAGATAGAGCGCTGATGCAAGACGGTCTCCTTGGCCTGAGCCCGCAAAGACCAGGTTACCCTTGTAGTTGGTGCCGCCTTCTTAATCTCAGCACACATACGACATCGGCCCTTTCACGTGGGAAACATACCATTCGGGTTGATCACTTGTGGGGTCGATGGCACTGTATGCACTGGCACTGCTGTAGCACCGAAAGTCCCGTTCCTCAGTTCTTCGGCATCCAGAAGGGAGATCTTCTGTATGATAGAAGACTTTTTCAAGCCGGTGCCTGCGTCTGGATCTCCCGCATTTTGGACGAAGAACATTTCGTCAGTTGTTGGGTTCCTTCTCTAGTCAGCGCGAGGTCTGGGTCACCCAGATTAGCACAGTGAACATACCAAGTGACTGCCTCGTGGAAGATGGGGTCGGACTCTGAGGTCGCAATGAGGGTGAGCGACGGATCACTGCCAATCACCTCGTAGAACTCCGAGCTGTAGATGTGAAAGGGTCTCTCCTTGAGTGACGAGGAATTGACGCCACGCCACAAGAATTCCTGCGATTATTGTGAGTTGTCGCCCTTTCCTGAGCTCTAGGCGCACAAACCGTCGATGCATTGGCCTCGTAAGGAGGTAAGACTTCTTCCAGCACATTCTGGCTCAATTGGTCAATGATCTGAGCCTGTTGCGGCAACGTGGGTGCACCGTCCGGAAGGGCCTGGGCAACGGCGCCTGTGAGGAGAATGGCGATCACGCCAGCAGCCATGTTGAACGATGCCATCCTGGGATTTGGCACGACCTGGAGAGCTTGATAGGTTGATCATAGAGATGCGTCATGTTCTTATATGCCGGGCCACTGGCGCCAAGCAAACGCCTTGTCTCAGCCACGAGTAAATGGGTAGGACTCCACTGGCCCTACGGCCAGACCGGGCATGATATATTGGCCACTCCATTTCTTGGGTCGCGACACAATGGAAAGCCGAGCTAGAAGGTCGGGAAATTGCCTCACGTTGCACAAGGCGACCTGTGGGATCTAATGAGGACACAAGGGTTGGGCACGGGTGATGGATCGGACGCAGCGATGCTGGAAGCTCGATCTGTCAAAAATCGATGAAGTTTGCCATCAACATCAGACGAATTTATCGTACTCATGGTTTTTGTCCGTTATGCACAGGCTTCCCTACCGTGTCTATGCTTGGCTGACGGGTTACAATTCTCTAAATCCCCACTATCCCTAGTGGAGACTGCCAAAATCTCGTAGTAACTGCTTCTTGGCAATATGTGCTAATACCGGGTTGCGGATCCGTTACATCCAGCCATGAATCGCAGCACCAGATCAACGGGCTGTTGCATGATGCCAAGCTTAACGATCGACGCAAAAAGCTCTCATTTGTTTGTCTTGAATCCGAGTCAAACTACCGCCGACCTAATCTTATCTTCCAGTCGTTCGTCTGGTTCAGATATGTTTCTCCACTAATTGTTTAACCACGACTCTAACCCTACCTACTTAGGAAATCAAAGGTCCCGCCCCTGAGACAGGCCCTGCAACCCCACGAAAGATGGTGCGGGCCAAGGAAGCTTTCCATGGAATCGCTTTACGACAGGTGAGGTTGTACTTGAGCTTCTGGGAATGTGGCTGCCGGCGAAACCCTCGCAACAATAGGGGTCAAAGGCCAATTTCTACATCGTTGCACGTTTCGATTCAAAACAGCTAGATCGAGGCTTCATCTTCGTTGTTCTTGTATACATTGAGCTGAAAGCTGGCTCTCTTGCTAATTAGTCTCCTCAAGTATTTCCCGGGAAGCATTTTCAACGACGCAGCCGACGGGTTCTCAGTGATCCGAAACACCGCCATCACCTCGCACTACTTCCTTGGCCTCTTCCTGTCATCAATTTTCCTGCATGTCGGATAGCGCAAATACTCCAAGTAATTCATCTGAACTGACACTGGAAGCATTGCGCAGAACCGACATTCATGCCGGCAAACGACGAAGTTCCTAGGCAGCAGCTCTCTGCAGATGAATCGCGGAAACAGCACGCGCTCCTGATTCCAAAGCACCATCAATAAATCCTCTCCAGAGATCAGCCCAATCGGCGCTAGCAAAGTGGATGTTGCCAACAGGCGCCTGGAGAGCTTTGAGGTACTTCATCACGAAACCAGGGCTATGAACAGCCCAGCCACCCTTTGAAAATGGATCGCTGAAGTAGTCGCATCCGAACTAGCAGAAAGGGTCAGTAATGGTACAGTGAGTCATTTGGATAATTAAGTGCGCTCACAATTCTTTGAATCTTAAGATCAGGATGCAAATACTACAGAGCATCCAGCAACTTTTCTGGCTCTTGCTGGGGATTGATGTAATCGCCAGGTGTCGTGATAAGGTAGGAGTTGCCCTGGGGAGTAATGCCATCGCCAATGAGGAACGGGATACCTTTGTCTGGAAAAGCATGGCCCTGCCAGTTCCGCCAGTCCTTCCCAGCCACCTCAATACAGACCTTGTAGGCATGGTTGCTGTGCCCTTGGAGATTGGCTTCCGCCTTGAGAGGAGGGAGTGCGGGATCAAACGTGATGTCCTTCAGACAGTTGAGCGGAATTGCGACTATGACGTGCTGAGCAACGAAGGAGCTCCCACTATTGGCTGTGACAGTGATCATGTTGGCTTCCGTGCTGATTCGTGATACTGGGGTCTTGAAGCTGTATGACAAATTGCCCGAGGAGCATGCGTCGTCGAACATTGACCGAGCTAAGGCCGTCTGCCCATCAGCAAATTTCCATCGTGCCGCGTGATCGCCAAAAGCTTGTATAGATCCTCCGCTGATTGCAGACCATCGGAGAATTTCACCGAAAGAGGGCCTCGTCATGGGACCCTTTGTCATGCTGAAAAGTGTTCCCAAGATAGCCTCATGTTCCTCGGGAGTCAAAATGTCTCGGATCTGATCAAGTCTGTCCTGGCAAGACATGTGATCCCACTTGGAAAATTCCTCATTATCAAGCCACTGGGAAGTGTTCAGGGCGTATACAGAGTTTCCACATTGGCCATCTATGTTAGTAAATTTTTCATAGCCTGTGATGACAGCCTTGCTTGAGGTTAGCAAATCTAATCGGTAGTGGTAGTGGAAGGAGACATACTTCGTCAGTGAACGGGATGTCGATCAAGACGCCGTCCCGGTTGACAGTAGGCTCCCGAGATCCCTCGTAAAATTCCATGCTGTCTTTGAGCTTGTCATCAAGCCCATACCGAACAGCTTCAGCCCATACTTGGGCCTGATTTCGATGAATCCAAGTGCCTCCAACTTCGTACACGTAGCCATCCTTCTTGACAGTCCAGCTGCGACCGCCGATTCGATCTCGTCCCTCCAAGAGAAGCACTTTGTAACCTTATTGCAATGTTTCGATTAGTCAAGTGGCTCTCAATATATACGAAATAGTCTACCTTGAATGCTCAGGTCACGAAGCGCCCGAAGACCAGCATACCCCGCTCCAACAACAATGACATCAAACTCCTTTTCGGGGTTTGGTAAGAGCTTCGGAGGGTCAATGACAGCATCAGTCGGGAGGCCTGTCTTCAAACCACCTTCAGGGGTCCACTCGTAGCCATCGTTTGAGAAAGACATGAATGCTGCTGCTCTGTAGGAAAGGATCTTAAAAGGCCAAAACGATTTTTTCGATCGTTTTTGTCAGAATAGTCGTGATTCTTCGTCAGAGTGGTCGTGGTTCTACGTCAAAGACATGAACTGGTATTTATATACCCTTTTCAGTGCCATATTTGGATTCTAGGCAGTGTGAAACCTGTTTTTGATGATTAATTTGCTTATCACGACCGTCGTGACCCTTTGGGAGCAGCGGGAAGATATCCTCGCTTACAATTACCCAATTCGAACCTTGGCCGCTCTCATATCGTTCATTCCGCCTCAAATCCGGCGCTCTAACTAGCGTGTGTTTGCTTGATCAAGATTGCTTGATAACGGTATATTCAGTCTGATTCGGATTGGAAGATATTTTATGGCCGGAAAAGAAAAGCATATAAACCTCGACCATCCGCCCCTTACCTGATCGTCAAAGACCTAGTGTTATAACTGAACAACTTATTATTCACATATACAATCAAACAATCTCTTAATCGCCTATCTACTACGAACAATTGTCAGCAAACATGTCGTCGGAATATCTGTCGCCAATCCTGAACCAAGCCGGCGTTCGTTGCTTCAATGTCCCGGGGTCTCAAGAAGAACTTGCCAACCAGGGCCATCTTTCGAATGCAATTACAGTCCCATCAAACGCTGTCATTGTTCACGTCACTGGCCAGGTTGGAAATCTCGAAAGTGGCGAAGTCCCCACCGACTACCGCGAGGAGTACCGCCAGGCTTTTGAAAATGTCAAGGCAGTGCTGCAAGCTGCGGGTGTCGAAACAGGATGGCAGGCAGTTTACAAGGTGCATTTCCTCACGCTCGATACCTCGACAGAGAGGCTCGGGGAATGGCTCAAGAACATCAAAGATTACTGTGGCGACACTAGACCGACGACGACGGCTATTGGGGCTAAAGAAATTGCGTGGCCTGGCGCGACACTGGAGGTTTTTGTGGAAGCGATCAAACAGCTCTAAGCTCTTTATAGCGGAGTCTTCCCTCCTACTGTGAAAACCCCTACTGGGTGGGCTCGAAACTTCCTCAACATAGCGGAGTCTTCCCATAAAATGGAGATGAGAATCATCCAAAGCTTTCTACAAGCATCAAAATAAATTTGATTTACATCTCGATCAACTTGCCTCACATGCACCCCAACTAGTAGGTACCTAAATGACAATATGATCCTCCCCGAGGACATGCACAAGATCAGCTCGTTCTGTTCATCTTTTTATGCCTAAAATCGAATCCTAAGTATATTGCATCAGGGATCAACATCGCCGGTACCAACATGTGCGTAAGAAAGAAGCCAGTCCATGCGGAGGCCAAGTTTGAAAGCCGGATAAGGAACCATGAACGAATAGGGTAGTCACTGCAGATACGATACGTTTCTCGACTGGGTGGATTGGGGCAACAATATATCCTGATTCAATTCAGGCAGTCATAGGCGAGCTAGACGCAGTAGGGATCAGCTCACGACGCGGATTGGCTTCTCAGCTCTGGCCGCATACTGCCGATCACGCAAGCTCCACCACGGAGGCCGAAAGGCCCGATGTTCCATGGCACGTTAATACCGAGTGGCGATGGTCGATACATATCAAATTGCTATGTGAAGAGATGATGAAGTAGACAAATGAGTAGCCTCTAAAGATTGCACGCCACCGGCAGTCGAAGGGATAATGGTGCCCCATCAATGGGATGAACCTCACCGGCCAACTCGCCTACATCTGTGTGCAGCTCATTCATGAAACATTGAAGTTATCGACAAGAAGTTTTCCAGATACAATCAATCGCATTATTACTCAAACCTGCAGTGAATCTGGCTATCTTCAAATGCCCTTGCGTTGATATTGCTTTCAAACAACTCGTCTAGTTCTTCGACATGGCGGTTCGTGTCCGGAACGTTGAAGAATCCCCATATCGCATACAAGAATGACACGGCGGCAAATACAAGTCCCGATTTTCCAGCCAAATTTCCTTGCTCAGGATTGATCATAAACGGTAGAATGATAATGACGACGATGGTGCCAGAAAATTGAGCTGCGCTGGAAACCGCAATGGTTTTCGATCGAAGCTGGGATGACGCAACTTCGCTCATGATCGCTGTTGCAGCCGGACTGATCATGGCACCGAAGACAAGGTTCCAAACAAGCATCAATCCTGCTTGAGCCCAGATGATGGAAAGATCATCAAAGGCCTTAGATACAGCTCCGAGAACCCCAATGCACAACATGACAATGGTTGCAGTCACCAATCCAGTAAGCCATAGGCTTCTGCGACTGTAACGCACCATTAGCCCCATTCCAAAGAGGTTACCACACAATGCGGCTGCACTGATGCCGATGGACATCATGAAGGAGGTTTCTGTCGGAATGCCCCCAACTAAACATCAGGCTCGTCAGCAATGATCAGTGTAGGGTAAGTTCGTTTGTGGGAATTTACGTGAGAGTAGATACGTGCTGTAGCCTGTGAAGATATAGCCCGTCGTGTAGATCGATGTGAAGGAGACAATCGCGATCATAGTCCGTCGACGATTGGTTCCAGAAAAGCACTGCCGAAGTGATGAGGAGCCTTCAGCCATTGTTTCGTGACGATCTGTCTCCAGAATATTACTCAGAGTCGTTCGGACATCAACGCCATTTGTTGAAAGTCTTCCGAGTGATCTTTGGGCATCCACTATTCGGCCTCTGCGTACTAGCCAGACGGGACTTCATTTTGTTAACTGCACATTTTTGGTGTAGCAAATCATGACATACCTCTCTGGAGCAAAAATTATGATAGGTAGGAGTAGAGCGGGCCATGCCCACTGCACCGCAAAGCCAGCGGAGTATCCCAGCGTCCTGTCAGTGAAGATGTTGCTGAGCCGATGGAAACGGACAATACTGCCCCAAGTTGAATACAGAGGCTCGCAAATGAAGTAAAAAGACCACGCAACTTGTAAGGGGCAACCTCCACAGCGTATGTAAGAGACAGAACGCTGAAGGAACCAAGTACCACGCCGAGGAGCAGAACGCTAATCGTCAATATAATTAGGGTTTTGCTGACGAACTGCACCGTAACGAAACGAAGGTGGCAATCATAAGCAACGACACGATGGAACACCACTTCCGCCCGTATGTTTCCTATGAGTGGTTCAACAAGAGAAATGATGCAATTTAAGTAGTGTTACCTACCATAGGTACTGGTATGAGAATGCACCCGATGACTTGTCCCACAACCGCAGTGGTTGATAACGCTGTCTGCCATGCAGCTGATCAGGAGTACTGTCCTTCATGTTGCTCCCCAAATTGTGACAAGAATGCTGGGAGTGTAAAAAGTTGTGTAATCCACGCTGGGCTGTATGTGTTCCTGAGTGATGCGATTAATGAGGCTGGACGATAATAACTGGGTTTGGGTACTCACAGAATCATTGGTGAAGTGAGCAAGAAGGACCACATAACTGCGTAAGGCCAACTTGAGAGGATCTGTGGGAATGAGGCCTCTGTGATCCGAGAGACCGCCCCGGTATCGACACTTTCCGCCTCCTCGCGTAGTACGCGTTCTTTGAGAACCCGATCACTTGCGGCAGGTTTCTGTTCATCTATTTCGTCAACGGGAAGCACAGCCTTGGCAGGCTGAGATGATCCTCGGGTATCTGCGCCATTAGCCATCATGACTGGTGCTTGAAAGTGTGAAATCTAATCTAGCGAAATCGATATCTTCGAGATACGAGCTTGGGGTCGTCCGATTAATTAAGTCATTTGATTCATTGAATGACCAAATGGGCTTCTACTTTCGTGTCAAGTCACGAGATTTGCGTGTTTGCCACAGGAAGCAAGAATCCTCTAGCTTGGCTTATCTCCGTAGCTATTTCCTCGGTCGGCAGGAATTGCCATTTCAGGGACTGCATTATCATCATCCTGGACATCGCCAGATAAGCCTGCCCTCATTTCGACTAGCTATCTTATCTCGTGCTATTTGATCCCTCGTTTGCATCTCCTTCCTTCGGTGAAAGCCTCGATCTATCTCTCGAATCCGGATCCAACCACCATGAGCTCAAAGTCAAGATACACGAGAAGCCACACAGGCTGTTGGACTTGCCGAAATCGACGCGTGAAATGCGACGAGCAACGACCGCAGTGTAGACGATGTCTACAATCCGCTCTTACCTGTGAAGGCTTCGGTGTACGTCTCTTTTGGGCCGAAAAGAGGGACGCCAGGCTAGACAGCCGTGAAAAACCACGATTGAAGACAGCCGATCAATTGCCGCTATCAGGACACGCTCTATCGCCGCCAATGCCCCTCGAACACGAGAGTGATATGCCGTCACTCAATCTGGCCTTTCTCGGCGAGATCCCTCCCTCTGATTGCGATTTGTTTTCATTATTTTCTATCAGACACTCGAAAGCCTCGTTCGCTTCAAATTCTTTCGCCACAACCGACGAACAGAGTCCTCCAACGGTGCATTCCCACAGCGACAGTGGAAACAGTCCTGAGGCTTTGGATGTCGCATCTTGCCTTGCGCTGAACGATGCCGGTGATCCTCATTCTCAAGAGGAGAATGAAGCAATCAACAACGACGGGCTGCAGTTTGAAGCCCTCGATGAAGTATCAAACGTTCTCTGGAACACCTTCGCTGAGTTTACGTGGCCAGAGGAGGTTTACGATCAGAGATACGTGACTGAGTCCGCTGTTTCCGAACGGTCTACGATGAGCGAAACAACGCAGCAACGAAGGCCAGAGTCCTTGTCTGAGCCACAGCAAAGACGTTCAGAACAAAAGATCAATTGCGAAACTCGTAATCATCTCAATCTTCTTTCAATGCCAGCACGACAAAAACGATTAATTCATCATTTTGTCACGTCGTTAAGCTCGAGACTTATGCTCATTGACAAACCTGATAATCCATGTAGGACTGTGTGGCTTCCTGTGGCCTTGGCGGGGTTGCTGTCCAACTCTTCGCATTCCGGACCGGGTATTGCTCTGTTTCATGCTGTTTGTGCTTTGGCAGCGTACAACCTTGCTGAACTTGGCAGTGGACCTCGTGATGAGGATCTCACACTTGCTATGAAGCATGACTATTTGGCTATCACGCATTTGCAGCATAGCCTTGATGGAAGCACAACGGGCGATGAGTTCGAGGTTTCCCTGGCAATGATGGCATGCGTTTCTATGGAGGCAGTGTCTGCGGTGCCTCGTCGGTGGCGGAATCACATGAAAAAAGGCCTGAAGCATTTTCAAAGGCTATTGACACGACAGTCTGTTTCGGAGGAGCTTCTACAAATGGCGTGGGCCATGACTTCCATGGCCGTGTTAAGCAATGTCATGGTCTCCGACGAGATCACAACTGATGCTGAAAACGACGAAGCTTTTCATGTGGCACAAGTTAGCGGCGGCATATCGCCAAGAGCCATTCGAAATCTTGCGGAGATCAACCAGATACACAAATTACGAAACAGATACGGCGAAAAGGAAGTAGATTCCTTCGAACTGAAGCTTTATTTAGACTTCCCTGCATCGAAGTCTGCATACACTGAAACAACCGAGGCCCTCATTCTTCAGCACATGGATAGAGCCTTCTACTATGCCGAACTTGTTCACTTCCAACGAACAGTAAAAGGCGCATCTCTCGACTCTGTAGAGGCACTCATAGATAACGGACTCAAAGAACTGGAGGCTATCAAGAAGGTATCTCATGGGAGCGCTGGCAGTATCATACTTTGGCCAATACTGGTTTTGGGATCCACCTGCAATATTCCCAGCTTACGAAACCGTGCCAACGATTGTTTTAATCAGCAAGCGAAGTTTGGCTTCAGGAATGTCACAGTGTTGCATGAATTGGTTCAGATAGTTTGGTCGAGGCGTGACAACGCGGCTATAACTTCAGACATTTCGTGGCAACAGGTCATTCAAGAGGAATCGTACGATGTCCTCCGGTTGTGACAGAAAGACCAAGCTCTTAGGCATTGAACCTCAACTTTTTATCAGCTAGTTTGTCTTCGGGTCAAACAGTTACTGATATCCAAATATATCAGTTTATGCTATTTGATTTCTTAGCTAGACGAACGGCTTCGGCAGTGACACCATCCCGACTGCAAGCCTCTCTGAAAAACCGGCTGCTCTTCCATACATCCGAATGCGTGCCGTATGCCTGTACTCCACCCTCGTCGAGCACAAGCACTCGATCAAATAATATTGCCACTCTCATGCGATGTGTGATCGCAACCATTGTGTAGCTCTTCAACACGTCCCTCGTCATGCCCGTGACGTTGATATCTGTCTGAACGTTCAAACACCCAAGTGTCTCGTCGAGTACACATACCCGTGGTTTATTCAGTAACACGGCGGCCAAAGCCAGCAGCCGGGCCCTCCCTGTTCCTTGAGCTACCTGCTCACCAGCTATCGTGTCGAGTTCCAGAGGTGGCTCATTCTGCAAGCCGGCCAGCAGATCCAAATCCGATAGTAGTCGAGATATCGCAGACGGAGAGTGAATGTGATTAGGATCAATCATCTCGCGAACAGTGCTATTGGGAAGCAGTACAGCGTCATGGGGGACTGCTGCAATGTGGGAGCGTAGCGTGTGAAGTGGTACGTCAACCATGGAGACGCTGTCCAAGGTTATGGTGCCAGTCGACGGGTCAAGGAGGCGCAGCAGGAGAGAAACGAGTGTCGATTTCCCTGCGCCAGTTGGGCCTACGACCGCAACGTGCATGCCGCTCGGTATGCTGAGAGATATATCGTGCAACGCCGTCGGAGCTTCTTTGCCGGGCTCCTGACGATGCGAAACACTCACATTCCGGAAGTCTAATTCTCCAGAGGCCGGCCATGACGCGTCATAAGCAATGCGGTACCTTGAAGCGCGTTCTGCCTCCCCTTCGCGAGGCATACTGGTAGCATAAGACGACAGACGCTCCACTGCGACCATGGACTGGAAGGCACTAGTAGAAAATCTCATGCCTTGTCTCAAAGACGGCGGCAGCACTAAAGCCTGGCTCATAATGAGACCAACAGTTGATGGTGATAGTGAAGCGGACGAAGCGACAACAAGAGCACCGGTCAGCCCAATAGTAGTAGCCACAATCGCGTCAAGTCTGACTTCAAGCCAGCGTAAATTTGCGGCGGCCAGAAGTCGAACGTCGCTCCATTCATTTAGCCGCTGGACCAAAGTTGACCGAGCCGACAATTCGATTTGATAGACCGAAATGGAGCTGGAGCCTTCGACGCTCTCACTAAATGCAGCATTAACACGAGCACGCAGTTCAGCCTCCTGACAGCGAGCAGCCTTGAGGCGTGGAGCATATCTGTGCATCATGGCAACGACTGCAGATAGACCCGGTAAGACGACAAGTAAAAGCTAAGAAAAAAATTCGTAAGTATTAACTACTCATGATGTGGTTGTCGCAGGACATACCTTGAATTCCATCGTGAGCATCAAGGCAACGCCACCAAGTAATCGTGCGAGATGAAGTGTAGCGTTGCGGGTGGCTTCTATCAACTCCCTGTCCGTTGTGTCCGCATCTTTTGAGAGACGGTCCATGATGCTACCAAGTAGAGAGTTTTGGAAGAACCCCATGGGTGCAGCAACGACTCGCCTCACCGATCGTTCCCACAAGCTATGGCTTGCATGTAACATCTTTGAGGTGATGTTAAGGCACAAGACATACGCTAGTAGCGCCTCGCCAAAACCAAACATAGCAAATAATGTCACTGACGCAAAGCCGGAAAGACCAAACCGGTCAGATGTCCATAAAGAAAGCCATAAAACGACAGCTGCAGCAGTGACTTGCCATGAAAAGACAATAACACCCACTATGAGCGCTGCCTTGGGTCCACCGCTAAGCCCTAGATAAAATTTAAAGGAGTCACGTCGTTTTGTGTCTTCATGAGATGGCAATGACTCCGACCTGCTCCTGGAATCTGCATTAGAGGCTTTCGTTAGAGCCTGCCGGGGAGAAGACTGAGCTTCCTGTGGTTGAGTTAAGGAGTTTTCCACAAGTTCTTCTCCCATATGGGATGGGAAATAGTCTTCAAGTTTACTTGGAGAAGTGAGCCAGGTAGCCTTTCCATCTTCGAGCCACAGTATCCGGTCACATTGGCGGGCCACCCAAGCCTGGTTCGTCGCGACAAATCGTGTGCGATCTTTTGCTAGGCCACAGAGACCGTATTCAAATACCGTCTTGCTAGTTGAAGGGTCGAGATTTCGAAGGCAATCATCAACAAGAACAATATCCGCATTCGAGTAAATCGCTCGGGCGATATTCACGCGCTGTGCCTGTCCACTTGAGAGACCTTGGCCGCCTGCTCCAACAACGGTGAGATCTCGCCGGGGCATGCGCTCGAGATCGGCCATAAGAGCACAAGTGTTGATGACCTTCCAATATCTGGCCTCATCAAACTTCTGGCTGAAAATGATGTTGCTCCGGATTGAGCCTTGTCTAATCCATGGTGTCTGGCTAGCCAAAGCCGCTTTTGAGCTGATACCCAATTCAAAGCTTCCCGTTTCGAGACACATTTGACTTGCAATAGCGTGCATCAGAGAGGATTTGCCAGACTCAGGGCGGCCGCAAACAGCTACAAGCTCCCCGTTCATAATCTGAACCTGGGTGTTGAAAAAGAGGTGGAAGTCATCAGCCGACGATCTGGCTGGCCAACTGAGAACAGTGTTTTGGGCAATATCAACCGCCCACTCTGCAGAGGTTGTTCTCATTTCGTGCGGTTCTTCCGTCACCAACCACATCTCGATCGCGCGGCATCCGACAAGGAGATCCTGCAACTGGACTGCTGCCTGTGCCGCTCGGTTGACGTGCGGCTTGAGAGCCAAGAAGAGAGCAAAGGATGAGAAAGCTTTCGCTGGATCTGGCACACCCTCATGGAGAGTATCATACAGAATGAGACTTGCCATAGAGGCTAAAGTTGGCAACAATGCACACGCCGCTTCTAGCAGGGCTCGGTTGTGCCACAAACGGCTTGCCGTTACCAACTCAATAACTCTCATTCCGCACAACTTGTTCAAGACCATTGTTTGAGATGACCATCCCGCAAGCTTGATGCCTCGAATGCCTTGAATAACCTGTAAAGTACACGCAGCACGATGTCGACAGAATCCACTGAGGGCCTTCTGTTCATCCCAGATACGGAGGGACACGCGCGTGAAAATAGGTAGACCCAGGAGCAGTAGGACCATACCTCCTAGTGATGATGCGTCTACATTGGTGGCCAGCATAGGAATTGCGAGAAGAAAGCTAGCTGGTACAGTTCATATGGCGTTGATGCTGCTGATACAGTCTTCTATACGAGAGGCCTCCACCGATGCGAGGTTGAAAACGGTCCCGGAGTTCCATGCTTGTTCTTGGCCATCCTTGTTGCGATCATGTGGACTTCGAATTATATTGGTGGCTGATGAGGATGGCGGGGCCGAGAAGGCCTTGTTCATTATCATGTATGTGAGAGCAGCTTTAGCTTGGGCTCCAACACCTTCCAGCCTGTATCTTGAGGCGTTGATGAGTATACCGGCGGCCATTTGCGTGGCTGCCATAGTGGCCACCAGAGTATAGCTGTGCGAGATGCGTATGATGTGTGGTTTGTGAGCGTCTTGTGTACTACTCGATGTGGCGGGATCTGGATCCGTTGTTGGGTCGGCTAAAGCCACGAGAAGCCACCGTAGAATGATTGGCGGTATTGCGGACGTCAACATGGCTGCAAGCTCGATCAACCCGCCTAGAATCAAGCCGCTGCGAAGACATCGGAGAAGGCTTAGAGAAAGTCGACGGCCTCTCACTTGAGCCTTTCCTGAGTGTCCTGAACTCTCATGCCAACACTGTGAAAGCTGTAGTCCCAGGGGCTCTGCCTTATGCCAATCGGAAAGCATGCCCTTGAAACTACTGGCATCGTCCTTCTGATATTCTTCTTCCATGTTGGTATAATCAGCTCCATCTTCCTCATCCTTTCTGATGATATCAGGTGGCGGCGGCGCCCAAGAAAAGAGCATCATGCTGAACACCCGTCTCGCCTGGGACCACATCTTGAAATTAAGAGACGTGGCTTGCGTCGCAAATGGCGAATAGGTATGTGAAGGACTGTTGACGGGTACTCTTCAACACGAGCAATGAAAGAAAAGCCCATAATACGGTGTGAAGCGGTACCAGAATGTGTCGGTCTCAGGTCTATGGAGCTCATTGGCGTCGTCTGTCATGGACCCATCCGTCCGAACTCCGGCGGAAACGCGAGGATATCGCGGAGCCAGAAGGTCGGGTCGCGGGGCGCAGCAGCCAAGCCGTGGCCTATTGGTCTCGGGTCTGACTCGACATGAATGTTCCTGCCGACTGTGCCGGTAATCTAAGAGACTTTCCCAGACTATGACGATGCTCACCGTAGATTTCGGTTCTGGTTGAGCCCGTCCCATCCCACCGGCCGAACCGTTGCTTGTCCAAACCTTAGCAAATTTCACCATTGTGAGGCGAGCCTCAAGGCAGCGGGAACAGGCAAGTCCCTGAACCGTGTAAGGATCTGTTACAAGCTCCGGCGGCGCACAATTTCATCCCGTTTTCTTGAGCGAACTTCAACTGACAGGCCACGAGTAAGGATCAGCGAGATTGTTAGAACACGGAGAAAGCATCGCTTTGTGAACAAGGTTTACCAAGTAACGCACTAGATGTCCCAAGAGCATAGGCCATCGACATGTGGCTCTAGATTGGAGATGGTCATGTCGCAAAAGCGCCGTGTCAACGAAAAGATGTTCCCGTTGCATCCCGTGCCTTTGCCTGGATATTGGAGCCAACAAACGCCATATTTCACGTATAGTTCAATGTTTAATACAGGGTTGCTGAAGCATCACAATGCCCACACATTCCTCCGCCGGCCGGGAATCTAAATTTCTAACAGCGATTTATCTCCCTCTGTAATATCAGATAGGAGCGTTTGTAATCAAGCTATGATAACTGCCCAAACACAGCGCTGCGTACTTTTGCAACAACAACTTAAGGTTGTGAAACACGCTTGCCATACTTGTCGACGGGAATGTTCTCAGCCCTCACTCTTTTGATGACGCCCTTGATTGCTTCCCAGTCACGACACGTGTGTATTTCGTGCTGACCAACCAGCTTAGGGACGAAGTCATCGTGGCCAGGATAATGGATGAATTCAAATCGCTCCATGTTCATATTTCCTGCGCACATCGTGGCCTGCGATCCCTTAATTAGCATTACACTCAAGACTTCGATCACACGAATCATTCTTACTTGACGAAGACTCTCCAAGCAGTGTTCAATGTGCTGGCGCGTACAGACATCGTAGCCGCCGTCCAAGTCCAAAGCCAGCTTCATATACGTTGTGCGAATGCATACCTGGTCACCGACTTGTTAGTAAATGGCCCGCAAAGCATCGCGAATTGTCAAATAAGATCTCGTACCAAACAATGAAGCTGGTGGAAGACGTTCCAAGCAACAGGCTGCAAGCCTTCAGGTTGAAGTGCATCTTTATGGAAATAGTCGGGCAATCCGTACTTGGCTGGGTCGTTAAGCGCAACAAATGGTTTGCCAACTATCGAATTTGTGGTCAGCGATTGTTAGGAAGATGAACTTGGCCTCTCAAGGGTGGAACGCAAAGAGATGACCGGCTTGCAATGAGACTCACATGAGATGAGATCAAGCCATTTCTGGTTGGCTCCCGGAGCTGTGAAGTTGTACGAAGAGTCATGTTCAAACTTCTTACGGACCAGTGGCACTACCAGTTTGGTGTCAGTGGTATGCTATATCCAGCAACAGACTTCGAACATACCATCGGTGATGAAAGGCGCCTCATCGATTGTCGCCACGCCAAGTCCGGTGGCCGGATCAGCCTTCTTTGGCGACGGAACGCATGCTGTCTGTCGAACACCCAGAGAGAAGCCGTATGTGCCCAGAAAGAAGCCTACCGCCACCGAAACAATGCAGCACAGGAAAGTAGATATCATGAGCATGCGGTACCCAGAGTGAGTAAGTCTATTGGATGGCGGTGACATCTTGAGGCTACCTTCCCCATCCGAGCCCTCTTCGCTCTGATGCACCTCCGAATACTCAGTCTTGGTGTTGAATACCATTTTTTCAGATCATTTGACGAAAGGTTGGACAGAAAAGCTCATGGGCCACTAAGTAAGGCTGACATATACCCATCCTCTTTAATAGGACTCTGGAAACTCACCATAACACACAAATCATTCCATTGTCTCCTCCCGTACTTGGTTATGCCAAGTTTCTAAGTGGAGTCTGCCCCTCGCGTCTTCCATAGAGTTTTGCTTTGCGCCGTCTTCCTTGCAAGTGGAAGAAACTGGCGGTGTTTTACGCGATGCCGGTTGCCCTCGGGACTCGGGTGTCGTCGTAAATATCGCCGTGTCCGAAAAGTCCGGTCGGTCAGCTCAGGATTAAAGTTCGTTGACCGCTGTGACGAGTCATTTTGGCGGGACGATCAATGCTGTTCGCGCGTACTCGCGAAGACCAACTTTTGAGTTTTGCCTTTAGCAAGCGACCATACGAAACCGAGGAACTTGTGCAAAAGTGACCACGATACTTGGCCGGCCGTAAGCAGCTTGCAAGGGGATATGAGTAGGACGAACTATTGGACCCGATTTCCGCTCAGTCATCGTGACAGAGGAATATGTCGCGGGGAGGCTGGAATTATAGGGACACCCTCCCGGTGGGATACAGCCAGACAGACGTTCAAGTGCTATCTTCTGTCTTGGGAGCTCCATCATAGAAAGCCAATGCACTCGTCAAACGCGCAGACAGCTGGAATCTGGGACTCGCCTGTAGCACTCCATTCCAAAGCCTGCTGTCGCTGCAAGTTACTCACCTTTATCGTAGTTGATGCAGGCTAGCTCATGTTTGCTGAGCTCATTCAGCTATGTGCGCAACCTCATCCTCCGTTTTCTTCTTTGGGGACCAATCCCTGGCAGCGAGCACGTACGTCCAGGCGCTGAGGCATCTGCGCAAACGAGCCACACCATCATCAGCTTCTCTGCATGCCTACTCAAAGCTCAGACTGAACGACACTACGGACGAACTAAACCATGTTCTTGATTGGGCGGAAACGGTTGCGTCTGATCTGGGTTTACAAACAGATCCCATAGCATCTGCTCTTGTTCCCTGCATCTCGCAGCTTGGCTCTGTGATATTGTGAGTTGGTATCAAAATTCGGAAGGATGAAGACACTCCTAGTCGGTTCATTGTCACTGATAGATGAGTCTATTCTCACATGTCTGCAGGAAATGTCAGATCGATCCGAGCATTCTTCGTCACAACCAGCAAAGGGTATTTGTTGGCGAATGCGTTGGACTCATCCTGGCGTGCGCTGTTGCATCAGCCAAAGATGAGAGACACCTCGTTCAACTCAGTTCAGAGACACTGAAAATTGTGCGGCGTTTGACTGAGTTTGCCACTCAACGATCACGAGAAATTGAGGATCGCCCGGGCTTGTCATGGGCTGTTGCAGTTCAGCTGTCAGGACAGGACTGCGTGGATGCCCTGAAGTATTGCAAAGATTATACAGTGAGACATCTTTCTCTTTCCTCTATTTACATGCGTGTCTAAAGTTATCTGTATCTTTCTTGCGCCGACAATCGTTACGATGGGACATCCAATATTGATGACGTGTCCACCCAGGAGACACCTGCTCACAAGCGCGGATATCTGAGCTATGAGCTGGATGAATGGTCGGTCATTTCTGGGCCACCCTCGACTTTGCGTCTTCTCCGTTCGAGTGCCTTTGGTCATGTAACAAAGAAAGACTTGCCAATCTTTGCTGCGTACCACGCAGCACATCTTAGAGAACCACCGTAAGAGGACACCTTTCAAGCTCCAATGGGCGTATGGAGAGCGGTAGCTAAGCGCGTCATCGCCTGATTCTAGTTACGACGATATCCTGGGGTGTTCTCCTCTCTTGGGTGCGCCACTTTCACCCAGAGTGAGAATTCTGTCATCAAACACCGGTGAGGTGTTGCAATGCGGCTCATTGCGGGACGTATTTCGACAGGCAATCCGTGACATCCTGCAGCGTCCGTCACGTCCATCTACAGTTATTGGGACGTTGATAGATTTCTTGAAACCAGATACTTCTATCCCAAAACTTTACACTTTTGGGCCGGCAGCTCAGTGGAATGCATTTTATCATCGTCTGACAGCCAATGGTCGCCAAGTCCAAACGATCTCTGGACTTAGCCTCGACCGTCGCCGACACGAGATAGAGGACCGAAATTACAAAGTGGAAGACAGTCATCAACAGAGCCGACAAGATTGCGAGGACGATGATGAACACAACCTGATTGCTATCACGGGCTACTCCGGCAGATTTCCCGGGGCTGAGAGTGTCGACGAGTTGTGGCAAGTTCTTTGCGTAGGCCGCGACACATCAAGTCACGTACGTATACATGTAAGCAACAAATACTGCTTGGTCCAGCATGCTGACGAAACTTTAAGATGCCACAGGAAAGAGTCTCTGGAACATACAGTTCGGCAATGCCAACTGGATGCTTCATTGATAGAGCAGGCCACTTCGACAGGCAATTCTTCAATATGTCCGGTAGAGGTGCATTGCAGACAGACCCGTCGCAGCGCCTTCTACTACTAACCACCCAGAAGGCCTTGGATATGTCAGGATACAATCCATCTATTCATACAAAACACGTGGGTACTTTTGTCGGACAAGCTACAGACGACTGGCGTGAACACAACATGGCACAGGATGACCCCTATTATGTGACCGGAGGCATGCGTGCATTCGGTCCGGGGCGTCTGAATCACTTCTTTGGATGGGATGGCCCATCACTGTCTGTTGACACTGCATGCTCTTCGAGCGCCATGGCTGTAGATCTCGCCATTCAGTCTCTCCGAGGAGGCAAATGCGATATGGCAATTGCTGGCGGCGCCAGTATCATCTCAGGTGCTGCAGATACAGGCATGTACGCCGGCCTTGGTTGCGGTGGCTTCCTGGGTGCCTCAAATACAGCCTGCAAGACTTTCGATGCCGCAGCAGACGGCTACACTCGGGCTGAAGCAGTCGTTGTTGTGGTTCTCAAGCGCTTAAGCGATGCTCGTAGAGACGGTGACATTGTACACGGTGTCATCAGGGGTATTGCCACAAATCACTCAACTGACACCAATCCCATCATACGCCCTTCTACAGAGGCCCAAAAGTCATTGTTGCGCCAGGTTCTCCAACAGTCTTTAAGGTATCCTGCAGACGTGTCGTATGTCGAGGTGCACGGGTCGGGCACTCAAGCTGGCGATCGTGCTGAAGTTGAGGCGGTGGCAGCTGTCCTTGGCGGCCGCCAGCGCCGCCGCAGTAGTGTGCTCAACGGCTCGTCTAGAAAACTACGGATTGGCAGCGTCAAGGCCAATATCGGACATAGTGAAGGTGCGGCTGGCATTTCAGCACTCATCAAGGCGCTGCTGATGATTCGTCATGGTCAAATACCTCCACACATTGGGGTCAGAACAACTGCAAACCATCATTTCCCTGATCTGGACAAGCTGGACATTTCTATCAATTTGAGGCAGGAGTCTTTGATACCAGAAGAGGAAGGGGAGAATTATCAAGCCCCCGCAAACATCATTATCAACTGTTTTGGGGCAGCCGGTGGAAACACCAGCATGTTGGTCGAAAGCTTTACGAATAACAAAAGCCTGGCTGAAGAGGACTTCAACCAACGACAGGCCAAAACGACCGAACAACATCTCCGAGTTGTGACAGTTTCGGGCAAGACTCCTTCTTCTCTCCAGGCCAATAGTCTGAGGCTACTTGAGTTTCTGGATGAGAACCCCACGACTCCCATCAATAACCTCTCTTACACTGCATGTGAGAGGCGGGGCCATTACCCATACCGGACTGCATACACAGCTAAAGACACCATCGACCTGGCTAGGCAGCTGGGAGATGGCACGGAAGCAAATGATCAATCATCAGCTCAGTCATCTCGGCCATCACAGCCTCCAAACGTTGTTTTTGTGTTTTCTGGACAGGGTGGAAAGGTGGCCGGTGCTGCCCAGCAATTGTTCGGCCATAACGACATTTTCAGGCGAGCCATTTGCGATTACAGCCAATTGTGCGACTCGCTGGGCTTTTCTGGCGTACTCGATCACCTTACTTCCCCAGAATCAGAATCGACCTCGTTGAGTCCAGTATTGGAGCAGGTTGCACTCCTCGTGTTCGAGCTTGCTCTCTGCAAAATGTGGCAGGCTTGGGGCATCCGGCCCTCAGTCGTACTTGGCCATAGCCTCGGAGAATACGCGGCGCTTCATCTGGCTGGCATTCTCTCTGCTTCAGATACGATCTGGCTCGTTGGAGCTCGTGCTGGTCTGGTGCCAAAGTTTTGCAAGACCGATACGAGACGCATGCTTGCTATCTTTGCCGGAGAGAAACACCTTATTCCCTTCATAAAGGACTGTCCCGTAGAAATATCTTGCAAGAACTCGCCTTCACAGACGGTTGTTGGCGGGTCTGTTGACGACATCTTGGCGCTGAAAAGTCGTCTTCAGAAGCAGAATATCAAGAGTGCTCTGGTGGGAACACCATACGCCTTCCATACCGGTCAAATGGACAATATCCTGGAAAGCTTGCGATGCAGCGCTCAACAGGTCTCGTTCCAAAATCATCCACAACTCAGGCTTGTGTCGACTATGACAGGATCACGTGTGGACTCCTGCCCGTCCTGGTCGGAGCATTTGGTAAAGCATACTCGCCAGCCAGTCCTTTTTGCCAAAGCTATCCAATCTGCAATCGACTTGAACCCGGGCCGGAATACCATTTTTGTGACTATCTCACCAACACGAATATGCAAAGACATGACCGCTGCTAACATCAGTCCAACTGGCGGATATCTGGCGGAAGTACTTGATGCGATGGGTACTAGTACTCATGGGTGCATTGACGATATCGCTTTCGGCTTGGCGAAGATCTACAATGCTGGGGTTGACATCAACTGGAGCGCCTATCACAAATCAATGAAACAAGCCGGAAGGCTGCTGGAATTGCCATCTTACGCATTCGACTTCAAAGATTTCTGGATTCCCCTTCACCAAAAGCGGTCTATCTCTTCATCGCCGATGTCGACTTCACGATCATCGTCACCAACAACCATCAACACCCCTACCACAGATGAAAATGATGAAGATCACTGCCTCAGGGTAATGCGCAAGACGAATCTTCAGGAAGGACCCTTCAGGAGCCTCATACTCGGCCATGTGATACGAAACAAGGCCATCTGTCCTGCAGGCGTGCTGATTGACATGGCTTTCGACGCCGCGACACAGCTCATAGGCGGAGTCTCCAGACTTGACACTGTTGAATTGAGGTCATTGTGTCTGAAGGCAGCTGTCACAATACATGACGAAGTGCGTGTCAACCCAGTTCATATTCTTCACACTACTGTGGAGAAGGTCAGAGGGGTTCCAGAATACGCCGTGACCTTCTCAGGCGAACGTGGAGTACACCACGCAAGTTGCTTTGTGCGGACGACAGGAAATCTTAACGTTCTTGGTGCCGAGACTACAGCAACTTCTCTCCTCCGAGCAGTATCTCGTATGACTCGCCTGCGAAATAACACGGATGCGAACCGCCTCACACGGACAATGATCTACAAGATGTGGGCACCAGTCATGCATTATGCCCCGGAGTATCATGTCCTTCAGGATATCGTCCTGTCGTCAGTCGGCTACGAAGCTTCCGCAAAGCTCATGACAACAGCGAGGGAGCCAGGCAAGCAGGCATTCATGTTGGATCCCGTCTGGCTAGATGGTGCGATGCAAGCTGCTGGCTTCACAGTGAACATGAGCGTCAGCGCTACTCCTGGAGCGGTGTATGTTCTGAACGAGTGTGCAAGCATCCGCTTCTGGGAGGCTCCGGTGTACAACAATGTCTACACCTGCTATGTAAAGGGAGAGTCGGTGAGCTCAGGTGACGTTATCATTAGCGTTACAGTTTTCGACGAGGAGCACGATCTGCGCCCAGTAGCTACTATAACTGGCATGCTGTTTCACAGGCTCAAAGGCAAGAGTGAACCAAAGCCAGACTTATTCACAGGTTCTATCAACACGACCGAGAGAATTGACAGGCTGTCGAATTTGACCCAGGTCACTGCGCCCTCGACAACGGCGGCCTTGAACAGAACTTTGTCATTCAACGGGTCGAACAATAGGTCCAAGCAGACAAAGTCAAACAACCGGAATGGACAGCTTCGTACGCTCATCTCGATTCTTGCCAAAGAGACTTATACCGACCTCGCAGAGATTGAAGAAGAAACTTCACTGGCAGACCTGGGTGTGGACTCTTTGGTGGCGCCCACTGTGGCAGATGCCATTAGAATCCAGCTAGGGATCGAAGTGCCGTTGATATCGTTGCTCGAGGCGCAAACGGTCAATGATCTCTCGGCAATCTGCTTCAATCTAATGTCAACAGACGTGGACGGGAGGACCGAGCCAGGAAGTCATCTCGGAGGGATTGTTGTCGGGCAAAGTGATACACACGGCGCTCACCGAGATGCAGCCGCAACGGTCTCCGCCAGCAGTACCGACCTTTCAAGCAGAATTTTGCTGTTGCAGGGCTCCAGTCGTTTCACACGCTCCTTATTTCTGCTTCCGGATGCCTCCGGGAGCAGTTCTGTGTACGCAGGCCTTCCACCGCACCTGTCCGCCCAGACCAGCACTGGCATCTATGCTCTGGAGTCTCCATTTTATGGTATGAGCAGCTTTCCTCGCATTTCTATGGAGAGGTATTGCTCCATTCTGGTCGAAACAATTCGTCGCTTCCAACCCTCGGGACCTTATTTGGTCGGGGGATGGTCAATTGGTGGCCGCCTCGCCTACGAGTGTGCGAGGCAACTCATGCAACAGGGAGAAACGGTTGCTGGACTGCTTCTCATTGAGTCATACGCGGAACTCACGTCGGAGCTCTCTTGCAGCCCCAACGCAATCTCCTTGGATCATCTTGAGGCAACAGGCTTCCTCGAATGGTCTGGAGGCCGAACGAATGCCATGCCAGAGTGGCAAAGAAACCACATGCTGCATCTCATACTCATGAATAGCGCTTACAGCCTCCCGACTTTGGGCATGGACGCGAACAACAACTCGGTACCAGTGCAGCTGGTATGGTCCGCCTATGGAAATTTCGATCTCTTTCCAACGAAAGTCTTGGAGAAAAGACACGAGATGGAAGACGTTGTCACGAGAAAAAGTGACAGATCTGATCAAGATCTCTGGTTGAAAGAACCACGATCAGCAGATGTCACGGCCAACCTGACTGAAAAGTGGCGACTACTGACAGGACCGGTTTTGCGTCAAAGTACTGTCGAGGGAGACCATTTCGACATTATGATCCCCAGTACACGAGAAGATTTGGGAGCTGTAATGTTGCAGGCTTTGAAGTGGTTTCAAGGGGACGCGTAGCAGATGATTTAGATAAGAAAGAGTCCGAGAATATGCGAAATTATTCCAAGCATGTCGGATTTCATGATGTCCAAAGGAATGCCGCTGTTTCTCTTTTCGTCCTTTTCCACAGGCATCGTCATGATTTTGTAGATCTAAAGCCTATCTCAGGAGAGTAGCAACAAGCCTGCTCCTCGGCATCTTTTTTCACAGAAGAAGGGGTGTAGACTCTTCTGCTGGAGACACGCCCGCATCCGAGCTGATGGATCAGCATCAAATTGAGTTCAGCTCCAGGTTCCGACGTTTTAGACTTTCCGTACTGCCTCGGGACGAATACGAGTCAGCTATATGTGTGACAATAATGCTAGGTCATGCCCCTGTTGTAGTGGAAAGCTTGTCCGCACTATCCGGCACGCGCCGGTGGGCTTCAGCTAAGGAAGTGAACGACGAATGACAGGGTAGTGGACGAAATAAAGACCAAAGGGCCACGAATCGATTCAACACATCGATTTCAACAGCAAAGTTGGCTTCAAAAGACGCAACGATGTCACAAAAAACGCGCCTCGTTGACTCCGTCCAAAAGACAAGGACGCGCCCAATGCGGCTGCTCCTTCTTGGTCTCCCACGGACTGCGACAGAATGTGAGTGATCCAGTTAGCGAAGTTCATCCCAATCCTCACCCAGTTTTTGACTTTCAACTCTGATGATCGTTGGATACTAATTTCAACGAACAGCCCTCAACAGCGCTCTGGAAGAACTCGGCTACAAAGTCTTTTCATTCCAGGCCATGTGGCCGAATTGGAAAGAGAGCATCCCACTCTGGACCGAAGCCATTGAAGCCAAGTATCATGGCCGCTGTAAGCCTTACGGCCGTGAAGAGTTTGACAAGCTGCTCGGGGATTACGACGTCGTGAAGTGCCCTCACGCCTTGCTCTTTGCCGAAGATCTCGCCGCTGCTTACCCAGAAGCACGGATCATCGTATCGAAACGCGACTATGAGCCGTGGCGTGCGTCAATGGAAAAGACCGTATTCAAGCTGCGCCGGTCCCTTGTCTTCCGCCTACTTCATCCTTTGGACCCATTTCGCGCCGCATGGTGGCCGTTTTTGCGCCTCATCATGGACACGGCTTACGGAGGCTGGGCCGAGGCAGAGCCGGGACGGAAACCGTACGACGAGCATCATGCCCGCATCGAAGCCATTACGCGCGAGACTCCGGAAAGGATGCTTGTATTCTCAGGCCCGAAGGATGGATGGGTTCCACTGTGCAAGTTTCTCGACGTGCCGGTGCCCGAGACGCCATATCCGTGGACGAACTCGGGAGCAGACTTCTTTGAGAGGCAAGGCCACCGAGCAGGCGAGCGATTGTTGTTGCAGAAGCTGTTGGGGAGGCTAGCAGTGGTAGCAGGTATTGGAATGGGGGTCTACTGGTACATGAAACGACCATAGGTAGACATATGCCAGCATGATACATCTAGAACTGTAAATATAGCATGGTAGTATTTTCTTAACATTTTGCAAGATTTCTGATACTAATGTATTTTACGCAGATCTGAACTGACGAGTCTCCTCCGCACCAGTAGAGGACGAAGCACTGAGGTGGACAACTCGTTGAACTTAACGAGTCCGAGTGGCTGGAATCAAATATACCGCGGAGAAGCCCGTGCTTGACATCTCCTGGTTGACTGTTCTCTCTATTACGCTTATTTGAGCTTTCAAGCGGAGAAGGGATTAACATCAGTATTTTGAACCCACTTTCACCACATCGGCAATTCCTTCAAAAAGTGCAGTCTAGTATCAGGGACATTGTGACCTCGGTCAAAACAGAAACTTGGTTTGAACCATGGTAATTTCTCACCACTTTGCGTCTCCGGTCTTTTGTCATCAGAAACTAATAAAGTGCTGGGGGTGGCAATGCCCTCAGGAAAACCAGTAGGTCTCTGTGTAGCACGAAACAAACAGCCTCCAAATAACACCCGAGGAAATCCTAGAGGTCCTGTACTACATTAGTACACAAACTGCATATTGTTATGAAAGCCATAATGAAATGGTTGTCGTACAAGAAACGCACGATTGCCTTGAATTTATCTCGAGACAAAGATATTCGCGATTTGGGGCCGTAAACCAAGCCACTCACTTCCTGTTTCGTAGTTTGATTAAGAAGAAGCCCCGCAAAGTGGCGCCTTCTCCCGTCAGGAATGTTATAATTTTCGTCTCCAATGATCACTTGACTGACAAACGAACTTCTGACCTCGATCTGATTGCTTGTATATCAGGAAAGTACGGCCGTGACTGCCCTTGCCATTTCTTTGCCCGTGAAATGGCTCGCTGCTGCTTCTTTTGAAACAAACTTCACTTTCGAAGGTAAACGTCAGTTTAAATATCTTTCAACGATCGCCGCTTATCCTCTCGGGACCTCCCTGCAGATCTACTGCTTTCCCACCCCTTACCGTACTAATACACTCTCGTCACTGGATCAGTCAAGATGAAGTTCGCCTCCGCCGTTACTAACCTCGTTGTCGCCTTCGTTGCTGGCTCCGCCGCCGCCGACATCGTGCCAGGCAACCCCGCCGGCGGCTGGTTCAAGAAGAGTTGCAAGGATTATAAGTTGACTTTGCGTCCGAAGGGGGGTGAGGGCAATGGCAATGGACAGCTTGTTTCCCTCGAAGCTTCATGCCGAGCCAGAGATGGCACTTACAAGGATAACACGCTCGATCTCGCGCTCTGCATTGGCAACTTCGATGGCCAAATGGGATGGCGAAAGTTGTTAGTTCTCTCCTCTCTGATTTTCAATCCATTGGTTGCAACCTCTCTAATGCGGTAAATTGTTTTCAGGGGCCTCTTCGACGACGAATGCGGACACTGCAAGATCGTCGACCAGGAGAAGGATCAGTATGACATGGAATGCCTCTGCAAGTCAGTCAGTCAGTTTAAGGACCCGACGAGCACCATCAATCTCAGTAAGTATCATTCGCTCTGTTAACCCGTGATTGTTACGCTCATTGCTAAAACTGTCTGTCAGACGGGAAGATCCGTAACGAGGACGGTATCCTCTGGTGCGGCTATCTCTCGAGCGAATACCAGCCACCTGCGTAGTGGAAAGAGGTGATGGACTAGGTATCTATGAGCATGAAAAGGAAAGCTTGCAGTGTCGATGGCGGCAATGGCTTCAGCAAACAATAGGTTCATACTAGCACCAATCCACATCGGACGTCAACGGTCAATTTGGGCTGCTATGCAATTGCAATAATTAGTCTACGGCTTTAATGTCAGCTTCGCAAGTTGCACGCAAAAACCCTTGGGCGTAATGATGGGTAGCAATCAACTTCATTTGATCCCACGGCATCATTCTGTCATTACTATGTGACCCAATATTTGCTTGACAGCGTCAAATGTGGCTGACATGAACATTCACTTCCCAAAAGCACCAATCCATGGGAGCCAATTATGCATAATGCCGGAGTGTGGCTTTCGCGGACTTTGATATTTCCGAAAGGCCGCTATTCGTGGATAGTGGAGTTGATATTCCAGGGATTATCGCATCGTAGGCCGTGAAGTTCAACTGTCGGGACTTCGGTGTTTGCCCGTATGGCGGGGCATGTGGGAGCCGATGAGACTCGTTCACGAGTCGGTGTAGACGGACAATCGTTTGCGTGATGAACGGATCTAAGAATTGCTACCCCGCATCAAGAGCTATATTTACTGGAATCGCCCATTGCCTAATCTCGTTCCAGTCTGTTGGATTTGCTGGCCTCGTAAACGATCACAGGAGCATTATTTACCCTTCACTTCGTTCATTTCTTGATAAACCTCCTTCAAGATGGAGTATGATACTAGAGAAAAGATAGCGCCATTGGGCGTCCTGTCGTACGTACATATGCCTGCTATGGCCAACTCCTCTGAGCTATGAAACTAATTGAATCATTGTCTAGAACCGAATTTGAAGAGGTTCGTACACAGGTCCTCCAGTAACCTAATCGCCAGTAACAACATCCTCACCGTTTGATCAGCACATGAAGGCGCACCCCTTTCCTCCTCTTGCGCCCCCAAGTGCCGAACTTCGATCCGCGATGGAAGCCCAGCGAATCGCGACACAGCAACCAGACACGAGTACCGAGTACTCCGTCAAGATCACCATGCGAGATCGCTTCTCCTCTGAAGCTCGCGTCCACAAGCCATCTGCGGAAGGGAAACATCCGCTTCTAGTACTGCTGTTTGGCGGCGGCTTCATGTTCGGTGACTGCGACCAGTTGAGCCCGTATGCCCGGCTCGCCACGAAGCTTTTGGGTGTTACTGTAATCAACTTGTCTTACCGCCGGGCCCCGGAACACAAGTTTCCCACTGCACCAAACGACATTTGGGATGGGATTCAGTGGATCACGAAGAACGCGGAGACGCTCCAGGTTGACCTGGCGGCAGGATTTGTGATAGGAGGCGTCTCGGCGGGAGGAAACTTGGCCGCGGTCACGACGCAGAAGGCACTCGACGAGGGACTGAGTCCTCCCGTCACCGGGCTCTGGCTTGGCGTTCCATGGACTCTCGAACCCGAGGTGGTCCCCGAAAAGTACAAAGACGTCTTCTTCTCCAGAGAACAATGCGCCGGGGCTCCTGGACTGAACCAGCAGGCTATGGACATGTTCAACGTCGCCTATGAGCCTGGTCTCAAGTCCCGAGACTTTTCTCCGTTCAACGCCCAAAATCCGCATCATGGAATGCCGCCAACATACATACAGGTCAGCGGTGCAGATCCCCTCAGAGATGATGGCCTCATCTATGAGAGGGCGTTGAGGGAGGCGGGGGTGGAAACCAAGTTGATGGTATACCCAAACATTCCTCATTTGTTTCCCGACTTCTTCCAGCTCAAGGCATTCCAAGACTTTCATTTCGACATCTTGAGTAGCTGGGCCAGTCTATTTAAGAAGAGCGTTGCAGCAGAGGAGATCAGGCACGCGCTGGCCAACAGCCCGTTTGCTTCCATTAGTTAGCTTGTACGCGGGAATTGATGCCGAGTTCACCGTTGCGTATTGACATATGTGGATAGTCTGGGGGATTCGAGACTGTAATCGAACGTTGTGCAATATATTCAACTCACTGTGAATAATAGCATAAGTGACATCAAAACAATACTGCTCTCCGCATGACCTGTTTACTCGGATAATAGAACCAACCTATCTTGTAGGTAGGCGCGTTAGGTTTGGCTGTCTGTGTATGTCAGTTGAAAAGCTCCTGCCAAGTTAGGTTGCGAACGTGACAAAACGGAAGGAAATCGACCGTTGGGCGACTTCCATCTACAAAAGGTTCTTGGATTATACATTCATAAGGAATGGAAGGTGCAAGGCTGCAGCTTCCTTCCAACATTCAGGTTTACCACTACCGCCCAGCGACAAGATCTGATCGAGAGACATCGTAAAAATTAATTTGGCTCCAAAACATTTCACGGTTGATAACAGCGCGCGAACCTACTCCGGGATGTCATCCTCCAGCCACGTTCCGACCAAGGCGAGACTATCAGTCGACCCCTGACGCTCCTGTACAAAAAATGCCAACTTGCCAAGACCGTCGACATCACGAAAAAGATGGTACGCGAGAAGTCAATTTGAACGACCTCAGGAGCCGGATTCGGCCTGGACGGTCCTCAGCGTTGGCGGCCACAGACTACACTCGATACATGCTATGTTCCCCAGAAGGATCGATCCTGGATAAAGACAACAAGACTGACACACACCGAGTCGGCTGATCAATGTTCTTGCCTCCAGTCAATTATGCAAGGGCATCCACATAATTCGACCCAACGTCTTCCTCGCCACGAGCTCCAGTCCCAACCGACTGCCCCTTTTTGACGAAATTTCAACGACACTTCGGACACTTGCCGCCACGACCAAAGCTGTGCACTAGCCATTGTTGGCCCGAGGTCAGTATTGCCACTCGCTTTCGTTCTTTCGCCTTCACGATGGAGTCGCTGGTATTAATGCCCAGCAGTATTTCGCCGTCCGGCCCGACGCCGTAAGGCTACCGCGAGTCGGCAAGGCACTGCCTCGGCAGTTTGGCTCGATACCCTGCCACCGAGACCGAAGCCTTGCCAACAGGCACTCATTGCTCGGCGTCTCCGCACCTGGCTGGACCACTTCGACCTGCAGCTTGATGTCGCTGCTGGAGATGGGGTCGGCACCCAAATGAACGGCAACATGGGGCGATCCTGCGGACGGGGGATACTACGCAGTGGAGATGGCCACTAGGAACGATGATCGATTGACCGGTCAGCCGATCGGTGAACGTGTTTTTCCTCAGGAGACGTGGAACCGTCGCCAATGACTGCGCTTCATGTCTGCATGCCGAGCTCATCGCCGCCCGCTTCGAACGCACGCAGGGTACAGCACCCCCTGGGCCGCCTCCAACCGACGGACAAGTTCGTGAAAAATATGCCGACGATTCCAACAACTTCACGATTCTTTATTTATCCACCAGAGTCACAACCAAATCTGATAACCCAGCGCAATCCGACAGTGGCTTACCCTTCGCCGACGAGGCCATGTCGCTCGCCGAAGAGGGCTGGCTGGATCTCGGGGTATATCGTCCGTTGAGCCAATCAGCGACCAGGGTTCGGCATAAAAAGATCCGATCCAGATATTCGCAATAGTTGATGCCCAACCATCGCAGTCGACCATGGGAGAAGTCGGACAGCTCCGCCCCCTTCGAGGTCGGTAGGGAGACGAGGTTTCAGCGGCCTGTCGAGGAACGTATGCACCCGGCGGAATGGCACTGCTGGGGCAATCCTCCCGCTAGGCGGTGTTATCCATCTTCCCCACAGTTATGTTGGCCGTATGTGTACATACACGCGGGCAGAACACAAACGGGAGCGGGTGGGACGAACCGCCCGGCTTACCAGCTCGTCGGCGCGAAGAAACGACGAACGCAGCAATCACACAGCTGGTGTTGCTTCCCTTGCCGGGTTCCTGACTCAGTGGCTTTCACACGGTAATTGAACATTTGCGAAGGGCCGCACAGCCTTTGCGATAGGTTGCAATCGATTTGACAATACTTTGAGCTGGCGTCGGGTGGAATCCGACCGATGCGCGTTGCCTGCCCTTGGAAGTGGTCGGGTTGTCCGGAGCGTTGACCGTCAACGGAACCGAGCCATCTTTGGAACTTTGGAAGCGACATCAGTGGCCACGTCTTGGCTACCAAGTAGGCCGACAGAACGATGACGACTTCAGGTGATCGTCCAGGACACCTGGAAGGACGGCGTCTTCGCATGCCGCAGCGCCACATGCCCTCACAGCTGGGCAATATCTGATGCTCCGAAGCCAGCTGGCGTTAGCGGGTCTGAGTGGGCGTCGGACGCAAATCCACATCGCGATCGACCGCATTATTGTCCCAGGCTGTCTCTGTCTCGTGTCGAGGGCTCCCCCCAAAGCCCCCACAGAACGACGCAAAGATGGATCACGAAGGGCATGTCGCTGCTCATTCAATTCGCGTCACAGCGACCGGGCAAGAAGGGGGTTTTCTGCTGTTTGTTAAATGAAGCCCCAGAGAAAATACCCATATCGGAAATGCAGCCCGCAGTCCTTTTACGAATCAGATTCCGGATCCATGCCGTTGGGACGCTGAGACAGCCAGCTGGGACAGCTGTTGATTGGCCTAGCTGCCATTTTGGCTAGGATTCAACGGCACTGGCGCCAGCCACCGTTGCTCACGAGCCGGGCTGCTGGGACGTTTTACTGCACTTGGTTAGCCGGGATGCCAGCATCACCACATAGCCCCGGCCTCGAGGCTTCTAGACGAGAGGACTGCCACAGGCAAGAAAAGCAGGTCAAGCCTTGCTGCTCATTACAATCGGTCGTCGATGAAATCTTGCACCGTAGGAACGGAACGGCCGGTCATGATCCACGGCGCTACTTGAAGAAACATCCACGCAAGAGCAGGGCCCAACACGGATTGGGTAAAGAGCCACGAACAGCCTCCAGAGCTCCTTTTCAGCTACTGCGTCTGCCTTGAGAAGTTGAGGTATGGGAAGCTAACTGTCACAAGTCCCACCCGGACATGGCCGCTGGGTTTTCGCGCTATCGACGGAAATGGCCTTCAATGAAGCCATTTCACAACGGTGATCGCGAGGTAGCCTGTTTCACACTCATCAGAAGTTTGGTAAATGTCTCATGGACGGTTTGCTATCACCAGAGCCTTGTCTAGTGCCTTCGGCAAAGGGAGGAAAGAAAAAAGCTCATCACAGGACGGATCTTTGATACACACACGCGGTTCTATGATGGAAATGGTGGTGGTGTCGAATTTTGGTTCTTCAACACCATCTCCACGGACGCTAGAACAGAGCTAGAAGCTCCAGCCGGGATGACAAGTTCTTCAGCGCAGGGGTTCGCCTGACTCGTCAGCGCTCAATTTCACCACTTGCGTTTTCGACAGCCACTCGTGACAACAAGCAGTGGGACTGCACCCCTGGAGGCAGCTTGACCGGTGTGGGGCAGGATGCTCATCGAGTGCTTTTTGTGGTCAAGAGGATTTTCAAGACGCCCGCATATTGGTCCCCTCGAAAGTTTAAAATGGCCAGGGCAGGGCTCCAGGTACTGCTCAACCGCTGAAAGGCATTGCTGAGTGGTTTGCTTTTCGCCGGTTGGCTCGGACATAAGGAAAATGCTGGTTTCCTCACACATGGCACTTGACCAACCAGTGTTGAATACTGGCATATTGTCCCGTTGAAGAGCCATCGCTTGTCTCTAATTGCGACACATCGGTTGAACATGTCGGTGTAGTGGTATCACATCCTGCTCGACCACCGCCGGGCGAAGATTCGCGTCACCTGACTGATGCGATAACCACATTGGCCAATTCTGGCAATTTCCAGCAACACGCTCGGGTCTTCATCAAGTTCAAACCCCGCCGGACAAGTGCAGAGCTTCGAGAGTTAACTTCTCATCAAAGCACTGACATGCAGAAATGACCTTCATGGGGCATCATCATCAAGGCTCAAAGTTCACACCCTGGTCCGAGTAACATGCATCGAAGTCACACTGGCACCTGCGCACCACGTGAAGAACAAATTGTCGATCCTGATAGGACCCAGCGCACTGCGCCTTGGAGGAACATGTTGCTCCATTTGGAGGAGTCGCGGTACCGCTGGCGGAGTCACCAGAAGATCTTCGGGATTAACGACGAATAGCAACGCTTCAGCGGTTTTGAGGACGACCGCACAGCCGCGGGTGCCGAATTTCGCGACGCCTTTTCGACTCTGGCAGCATCTCCACGGACGTCAAATTTTGACTTGACTTTCTATGCAACGTCGCCGGATAACACAGAAAGTATAATGAGGTTAACCGTTGGGGCTGAAGCTTTGCGACGGGGTGATCGTTAGGATTCCCATTGCAGCCGCCAGCGGCAGGCAGCGCACGGTGATTCTGACCTAGGATGGGACAAGGGCCAAGACAGATGGTCGAATTCTATCTGCAAAAGGACCGGTACATGCCGACACAGGCCTGTTGAGTCAAGAGCAAGTCCAGACTTCATCTCGACATCGCAGATGCAACTTTGCAAAGCAAGTCACGCCTTCTGCCGTTGAAGCACTCCAGAACGTTGGAGTGCTGGTGGGCTTGAGGTCTTAGCCGCGGTGGGTCAGACGGCTCTTGTCTGTCGACGAGGACTACCCCATCTCCAAAGACGGGCAATCTCCCTGTTGAACACGAGGCACGAACACCCATCAGCGACACCGCAGCTACGGGGCCGGGCGGCACGAACCCGGGGCTGACGGGAAGGCTGGACGACTGTTGAAAAGCAATGGGACCGCCGTTGACGGTTGATGACATCCCGCCGCCGGTCGAAATGACGTTCCACGTGGTGAAGGGATGACCCAGTCGGAGAAACAGAACACAGAGCAGCTGGTGAGCGAAGACAAGGCGAATTTGAAACGCCCCCGAAAATGGGACAAGTTCTGCGACTAGTGGTGGTTTCTATGTGCTAATGGTGGAGATTGTCAATCATC